ATTTTATTTTGTTTTTTACATATTTTAAGATTTTTTAAAAATGTATACAGGGTGTTTCGAAAAATCTGATCATTGATTAATCACGATCCTGCTTAAAGCGCTTGACGTAAAAATCTGATTTTTGGAAAACGGATTGACTTTAGGGTGTAGAAGTTCGATAAGAAGGAATTTTTCGAAACTCTAATTCTAAGGGGGTGAAACAACCCCTCAAATATTAGAATATTTTTATTTAAAAACCAGTGAGTTTTTCGGGAAAACTCTTAAACACGTATATTTTATTTTGTTTTTTTACACGTTTTAAGATTTTTGAAAAATGTATACAGGGTGTTTCAAAAAATCTGGTCATTGATTAATCACGATCCTGCTTAAAGCGCTTGACGTAAAAGCTGATTTTTGGAAAACGGATTGCCATTAGGGTGTAGAAGTTCGATAAGAAGGAATTTTGGAAACTCGAATTCTAAAGGGCTGAAACAACCCATCAAATATTAGAATATTTTTATTTAAAAACCGGTGAGTTTTTCGGAAAAACTCTTAAATACGTATATTTTATTTTGTTGTTTTACATATTTTAAGATTTTTTAAAAATTTATACAGGGTGTTTCATAAAATATGACCATTGAGTAATCACGATTCTGCTTAAACTGCTTGACGTTTAAAGCTGATTTTTGGCAAACGGATTGACTGTGGGGTGTAGAGGTTCGATAAGGAGGGGCTTCTCGAATCTCAAATTCCAAGAGGGTGAAAAACGACCCTCAAATATTACAGTATTTGTTATTTAAAAAACGGTTAGTCTTTCGCGAAAACGCTTGGGCACGCATAATTTATTTTGTTTTTTACATATTTTAATTTTTTTTAAAAAAATCATACAGGGTGTTCCAAAAAGTTGGGTAATAAGGTAGGGTAAATAAGTAATAGGTTTAAGCAGAATCGTGATTAATCATAATCACGATTCTGCTTAAACTGCTGGACGTTTAAAGCTGATTTTTGGCAAACGGATTGACTGTGGGGTGTAGAGGTTCGATAAGGAGGGGCTTCTCGAATCTCAAATTCCAAGAGGGTGAAAAACGACCCTCAAATATTACAGTATTTGTTATTTAAAAAACGGTTAGTCTTTCGCGAAAACGCTTGGGCACGCATAATTTATTTTGTTTTTAACATATTTTAATTTTTTTTAAAAAAATCATACAGGGTGTTCCAAAAAGTTGGGTAATAAGGTAGGGTAAATAAGTAATAGGTTTAAGCAGAATCGTGATTAATCATAATCACGATTCTGCTTAAACTCCTGGACGTTTAAAGCTGATTTTTGGCAAACGGATTGACTGTGGGGTGTAGACCCATATAACACACAATATCCGCAGGATATTCATAGAATGTCGGAATGTCCCATTATAAGATCATCTTATAAAGACATCTATGGGATTTCCTCCAGACATCCTGAAATCCTGTAGATGTCCCAGAATAGAATATCCTATGGATATCTCTGTCGTATATCTAATGTACATCCAGCTGAGATATCCAAACATGCTCATGATAATAAAATATCCTAACAATATCGTCTAGATATTTAGGAAAAATAAATAATGTGCTACTTTTTATATTACATAAAATGCAATAAACCATACAGATAGATATATATTACGTCAAGGCAACAAAATATCCTGTTGGTATCTTCTGGATAATCTGGATATTTATGCGCTTGGCCACTCCCACTAATACAGAGAATTTAAAACGCCCGCGCAAAAAATTTCCCACAATCCATCTCGACAGTTGTTTGTTTTTGCATCGTGTATTATTCAGTTCTTTGATTTAGTGAAATTCGAGGTGAATTCGGTCGTTTGTCGGTATTGGATGGGCTTAAAAATGACTGAAACTAACAAAACTGGTTGAGTTTGACTTAGTTTTTTCTTATGCTCATAGTTCTAGCCTTGTTCTAGCAGAAATTCTATCCTAACCTCAACTAATGTCGAAAAACGACGAACAACTCAGGGTCTCATAATGAAGAATTTGTGACACAATTATAGGTGAAAATTTGTTGAAAATCGCTTGTTCTTTATCCCTAAACCCATTTTCGTGTTTGATCTATTCAAACAGAAATCCTATTTTTGGGTTTAAATTGTGAGTTTCTGGAATGTGTGGTGTTAGAAATTATACCTGTATCCTGTGTGCTAACTTTGATGTAAACTGTTGCTGCTAGACATAAACTGCTAGACTCCATAAAGGGTAGTGGTATAATCTGGTATAATACCATACGATCGAAAAATAATGGCGTCAGAGGTGGCTTGGAAATGAAGATAGCTGTTATTTTGTACGTAAAATTATATGGGGAATGGCATCGATCGTAATTTTCAAGCCAATTGAACGCCGTTTTTTTTCGATGGTACAGTATAAATTGAAAGCTCTTAACTCATACAAATAAACTTATAAATTTTGACGCAAAATTCATTGACATAATATGCAGGTGTATTTTCGAGCTGTTAATAAAAATATCCAATGAATATCGTCAAAATGTGGCTAAATAAAACTAAATCGCGAACGTTTTTACTATAAACTAAGGATGAAGTAAGTATTGTCAAATAACAGTCCTCATATAATGTCCTAAAAATATTCTATAATGCTCCCAACATCATCCTTGTATTATCCTAGAAATATTCCAAATAATCGTAAAAGGCTTGCCTAGGGATGTCTTGAAGATGACTTTTTTTGTCCCACTTGGATATCCCATAAATATCCTCCTCTGGTTTTTGGATATCCCTAAGATATTTACTATATCCTTGGTGGATATCCTCAAGATATCTATAGGATTGTGTTGTGTTATATGGGGAGGTTCGATAAGGAGGGGCTTCTCGAATCTCAAATTCCAAGAGGGTGAAAACGACCCTCAAATATTACAGTATTTCTTATTTAAAAAACGGTTAGTCTTTCGCGAAAACGCTTGGGCACGCATAATTTATTTTGTTTTTTACATATTTTAAATTTTTTTAAAAAAATCATACAGGGTGTTCCAAAAAGTTGGGTAATAAGGTAGGGTAAATAAGTAATAGGTAAACCTATTATAAAAGCAGAATCGTGATTAATCATAATCACGATTCTGCTTAAACTGCTGGACGTAAAAAGCTTATTTTTGGCAAACGGATTCTTCGAAAATCAAATTCCAACGAGATAAAATTACCCCTCAAATATTACGAAGTTATATAATAATATCGCCATATTGTTTTTTCTCATGCTGACATAAATGTGAGAAAATTTTATCCAGTTTGTATGTTAATGGGAATTCTTGCTTTACTTTATCATTACCATTACAAATGATTAATTCGACGCGAACGAAGTCGCGGGTTCATGCTAGTTATGAATATATTTCTTCTAGAAACATGCTTATTTTATTTTGTGCAATTTGTAGATAATATCATCAACACCTTTGACATCTGCTTCTACCTATTTGTATTGATTTTAGTACAGAAGTCTATATACACTATACCGCGTGCTTTTCAAAAGTGGCTCACCCCTATAACTTTTTTATTTTTTTAGTTAAAAAAACGAAATTTGGTATGTTTAGTTTGGTTAGTATATGACATAAATTAGGATTGACTGACGTATTCAATTGTTATTGGTCACTTCCGGTTTCACCGGAAATGACTACAACTTTTGATTTTGAAATGGCACCCTCGGTATTTTTTTACTTTATTCGATAGAAAATGTCACTCTGAATAGAATGAGACATCATATGTCAACTTTTGACATTTTTGTATATGGTTTATTTGAATAGTGTCTCTTTTATCGAGATCTACTCTTTGTCGAGATCCACCAGCCCTGAAAATATTTGCACTTATTGCAACCAAATTGCACTACGCAACCAAGCAAAAAACCTCACTTTACATTTGCAACATTGCAGTAAATCCCCAACAGCTTGCAATGTTGATTTCTAAACATTGTATCGTGATTGATGAAACCTTGCTACAGGAACATTGTTTTTGAAATGTGATTAAAACGTTTTTTCTGCAACATTGCAACAAAGATTCAAATGAAAGATACGCGCAACCTAATACCTGTGCTAATAGGATCTTTATATTAATGGTGGATATAAAAAAATATTGTTTTGAAAAGAAAAATATACTGTCCTTTGTAATATTATTTATAATACCTATATAATTACGCACTAATCAAACAAAGATTAGCTACTTACGCCTCTTTTTTTCTTGAGATCATAATATAGTTAATTAAATAGTACCATAATCATAATACAACCTATTTATCTAAATAATTTGATTCAAAAGGTCCATTTTACCTGCAATGACAATAATATATAATTTATCAAGCACAAGAAAAGAAATTTAAATAGTAAATTATAACACCCTATTATATTCTTTGTATTAGCTTAAAATGCTATATAACAAAAAACGGTACCATAAAGCTGGGTACTTAAATTAGGTGTTTTTTTGGCGAAATTCAAAATTTATCCATTGTAAAGTATAGGTATTCAAAATTATTAGGTATAAATTATATTTATGTAAATGTAAAAATATACTTATCTTCTTTGTTATTCAATTTTTTTAAATGTTTTTTATGATTTTTTTAAACCTAATTATTAATTTATGGCATTATTTAATAATAATATATTTATATTATTAAAATTATTTATATAAGTTTATTTAATAGAAAAATGCTGAGCGAAACAGACATAGGTATGCAAAAAAGTTAGGATGGTAATCAGTTTTTTTCTATTCACTGTGTTGCACTTTATGCCATAAGTAAAAACCCCCAATGCTTATAAAGTTTGTACATTTCATCCTAATAAAAACGCTCTAAAATTTCTATCAAATTGATTGATGATCAAAAATATTGAAAATATATTATTAAAATTGATGCCTTTAGAGGGATAGAAAGAAAGAAATTTAAAGAAAATTAATAATAAAATAAAAAAATAATAAATAATTTAAAATTATGGGTTAAAGAAATGGGAATTATATAACTAGGTTTTCTATTGACACACAAAATTTACGTTTTTAAAATATATTAATTTAAAACTTAACAGTACTTAATCTATATCACTACCATTATTGGAATCACTATCAGAATATGCACCTAGTAAAGACAATCCATTACTACTTGATACATTTGCATTTGAGTTCGTTACACTTTCACTACTGTTTTTCTTAGCAACACTGTCCTTTGTTTTCACTAAATTTACAAGGGGTTTCTTTTTGGCAGTAACAAATTTATTACTGTTCAATGACCAATTACTCGTTGATGGGACAGCTGATTTTGTGTCAACAGATTTAGCATCCAACTTGGGTAACTTTGAATCAGTCTCTCCTATTTCTTCAATGATTTCTTCTTCTACAACCAGTTTTCTCTTGTTAGAACCTTGAAAATTGACTTTTTTGATATATTCCTCGTCCAACTGTTTCTGTTTTTCTTCCCTTTCCCTTTCACTTAAAGTTGTATCATAAGCTAACAACATTGTGTCATAGTCTATTACTTCCTGTCGTTTGTTCAAATCTTTTAATTCTTCTAAAGATTCGAGTAACTCAATTTCATTTTTTGATTGTTTCGTTCTATTTTCCAGTAGTTTCATGGGATTATTGGCTTCCTCTTCCTTAGCCTCCTCTTCTTCTCGGACTGCCTGTTCTTCGGCTAATTTTAAGGCCATAAAATTTCTGGTGGCACCTGCTTCAATTTCATAATCGGTATTTCTCGGATCAGTTTTGAATGATATTTCTTGTAGACATCTGGTGCATTTGATATAGAATCTGTATATTCTAATTCCAAGATAATCTTCATTCTCGACGTCCTCTTTACGTGCGTTGAATTTTTTACCTTTATAAATATATTCTCCACAAGTTTTACACCTCATATTAAATGGGGCCATAAGTCTTACTGTATACTGTCTGTTTTTCGGCAACTTCATGCGAGGAATCTTCGATGGGTCGAAATCTGGTGGGTAATATTTGTTAAGCACTTTACGCTCAGACATTTTAGATTAATATATTATAAAATTTAGATAGAACCAAACTTTGTTTATAACTCGTTTAACTTTTTGTAGAGGTTATAAGCTCGGTATTATCTTGACAGCTGTACCTGGATAACTGAACTAGGGGGGAGAAGAGGGAGGAATTTATAGTTGACGTCAGTTGACATTAGACCACAGACATAGAGACAGGAATACCACAGATTACAATAGACGTGACAGGTGAGAGGAGAGTATATATATGATCAGGGTTGGTAAAGATATTTATTTTTCTATTTGTTACAAGAATTATACATAGTTAAAAATTAATATATTTCTTGGAAAAATTATTGTATGCTTACCGTGTATTATTAATTTTCAAATCAATACATAATTTCACATTGAGAAATAAAAAAAAACAACATTATTAAATTAGGTAAACACTTTTCTACAGGAATTTTTTACACCCATCCATGAGAAGTAGGCAGGGTTCGGAAGTAGTTAATTAAGACGTAATTTACCTGATTAACTACGTGTAGTTTTTCTTCAAAAACTACGTCTTTTCCCATTCATTAACTACATGAAAACTACACTAATAAACTATGTATTGATATTATGAATAATTTTGCTTTGTATGAGGGGTCTAAATAATATGATGTGTGAATATTATATTTAAAGCCATATTTCTTCTGTTTTCTTAAATACATTGTGTTTTCTAAAGCTTCAACTTATTATAACCTCACCTCAAACCTTTGATATTTGAAAGTTACATACATAGGTTACATAAACTACACTCTCTACATAAACTACATTAACTACATGTAATGTAGTTTATGTAGTTTTTAAAAGTAACATGTAGTTTTCCGAACCCTGGAAGTAGGATTGATTGCTAGGGATGACTAAAACTGTAAAAACTCCGCATGGCACAGATTAAGATTATTTTAAAATCTGAACGTACTCTATCTGACATTGAAATATTTGAAATTGACGTCTTTCATACGTCTTTCTTCTTTCTTTCTTTAACATGTTTTTCTTGTGAAATAAATACACGTGTTTTTAATTTTTTAGTAATCAAATAAAACATGGTTTCAAAGAGGAAAAAGAAGGTTTAAATAAATTGTGTTAGGCAACATGACAACGAAAATTTATTTGTTTATGTTTGTAGTATTCGACCGGAGAAGGTGCTCAGTTTATGACCAGAAAAGCGGCTCTCAAGAAACTGCAACTTTCATTGAATGATTTTAGACGACTTTGTATTTTAAAAGGCATTTATCCAAGGGAGCCACGAAATAGGAAAAGAGCTCAAAAAGGACAATCAGGCATTAAAACTTTATACCATGTAAAAGACATTCAGTTTTTACTACATGAGCCTATCATATGGCGACTGCGGGACTATAAAATATTTAACAAGAAAGTTGGACGTGCAAGAGCGTTGAAAGATTTCGAAAATTTAAAAAGATATTTAAATAGTCATCCGACACTAAAATTAGATCATATAGTGAAGGAAAGATATCCGACATTTATAGATGCTCTGAGAGACTTGGATGATTGTCTTACTCTTTGCTTTTTGTTTAGTACCTTTCCTTCTATTGCTCATGTTCCTAGGGATCAATCGGCTCTATGTCAAAGATTGACAATGGAATTTTTACATATTGTAATCGAAGCAAAAGCTTTAAGGAAAGTATTTATTTCAATTAAAGGTATTTTTTTCAGGTAATAAAAGTATTCCTATTATATATTTATAACTTTTAGGCTATTATTTTCAAGCTGAACTTAAAGGTCAGACAATAACTTGGATAATACCTCATCATTTCTCATTTGAACCGCAACAAAAATCTGAAGTTGATTTTAAAATTATGTCTACTTTTGTGGAATTTTATACGATACTATTAGGATTTGTAAACTTCAGACTTTATCATGGTTTGAATTTACATTATCCACCAAAATTTGTGTCAATGTCACCAAACAGCAATGAAAAATTATTAGTCGATGAAGATATCTTTGTAGCTGAAAGAGTTAATGCTTTAAATGTGTCTTTGTTAAAAACATCAGATGCAGTAGATGAAGAAATTGAGATTGATAACTTCAATTCGGAGGATGGCCCAGAAAATATTGAAGATGCAAAAAAGGAGGCTGAAAATATAAAAAAATTAAAAACACTTTTTAAAGGCCTTAAATTTTATTTGAACAGAGAAGTGCCCAGAGAACCCCTTGTATTTATAATAAGATGTTTTGGTGGAGAAGTCTCATGGGATAAGACACTTTTTGTAGGTATGTTTGTACCAAAGACTGTTTATACTGTAGTTAAAATAGTTATATATTATTTTTATTATTTTAGGTGCAACTTTTGATGAAAATGATGAAAGTATAACACATCATATTGTGGATAGACCATCAGTGTCAAAGCAGTATATTTCGAGGTATTATGTTCAACCACAATGGGTTTTTGACAGTGTAAATGCTAGAGATTTATTACCAGTTAATAAATATTTTATGGGAGAAGTGTTACCACCACATTTGTCACCATTTATAGATAAAGGTATATATTTAGAATAATTTATTGTATTGAACTTCACAAATATTTATATTTTTATAACAGACAGAGATCAACAATATATACCACCAGAAGAAAGGGCTTTATATGACCCTTCAATTTTGGAAGAACAGCACAAGAAGGATGCTATGGAAATGGAAGATCAGGATGAGGATGAGGATAGTGATGATGATGCAAAGGAAGAAAATGAAAGTCCCGAAACTGAAAATACTAAAAAGGTGAAATACTAAATTTTATTTTTGATTGAAATATAACTTTTTTGGTTAACTTTACAGAAAGGAAAGCTATCAGTAACAACAGGGGAAGTTTATAAGGAGATTCCATGGGAAAAAGATAGGCAAGAAAAACAAGCATACAGACTACGAGAAAAAATGATTAAGAAGAAACACAGAAAGCTATACAAGAGTATGATGGAAGGCCGAAAAGATAGGGCCAAAGAAATTTGGCTTTTGCGCAAGAAGAGAAGACTTCATGATGAAAAAAAAGCAGGTGAAAAACCTATTAAGAAGAAACAGAAAGCTAAGTAAACTTGTGAGCATTGTAATGTATATACTTACTTAGATAAGGCCTTGTTTTTCATGTATAAGGTAAAAAATAAATATTTTAATATTTAAATGATTTTTAATACATAAAACTCAAACAGATTGCCACCATATGAATAAATAGTAATATACATAGTACATTATAATAATACAGTAAAACAAACTTAACTTTCACTAGATGGTAGAGGTACCCTCTATGGTTTGAAAACATTTAATATGAAGAAATGTATAAATGGTATATATTAAAAATATTCAAAATTATTGTCAAGGTTTATTTTTCAACAAACATACTCCAAATATCTTAAATTAATAACATAAAAATAATCTGGTTAAAATAAATTTATCAGAGAAATTGATCTGCAAATTTTTATTTATATATTATATTTTTTTTTTATAAAATTACAAGTTTTAACAGAAATTGATTTCTATCTACACTCAGATGCAAAAAACGCAACTGAACATTTTTTCGTTAAGTTAAAAGTGTTATATTTTTTACATTTAGCACTATTTTCATGATTTTTTTAGCAAACTGTTTATAAATTAGTGTTGGGAAAATTCGAATTAAATAATTTGACTAATTCGATAGTAAATTAAAACTAATTCAATTATCTTTTTCGATATAATCGAGATAAAAATTAGTAGTATTTTATATTATATCTGTGGTAACCGAATTACAAATGAACATAAAACATAACCTCTTATGGACGAATATTAAATATTAGTAACTAGTAGTATTCTTTCGTTCTGAACGAACTGAAAATTTTCACTTAAATTGATTTATAAAGGGAATCGACAAAAAAAGGAACGATCCGATATAGAAAAATCCAGAAATCATTGTTATTTCCTATACCACGTAGGAATAAATCAGTTTAAGTGAAAATTTTCATTTTGTTCAGAACAAAAGAATACTACTATTATTTGGTTCATTTCCATTTCACCCAAATTTCACCAAACACCTGCCGAACACTAAAATTAATTTTCTTCTTTTATCTAAATAATTATTAATTGCCACTGATAAAATAAAAAGAAATACGAACCGCACGTAAACAAGGACATATCGTTTTAGAAGAAGCTTTTATTTTAGAGAGGAGGTTTTCAATAGGAATTGAAATGTTTATAAAAGGCCATAACAATAACAATCATAAACTGGGCACTTTTAAATTTAAAACTATAAATTTTGGTTTAATTTATTAAACGGCTTCGGCACAGTTAATAGAATACATTAAATAAAGAATAATATTTTTTTATTCTTTATTCAATGATAGAATATAGGTATGGCAATGGTTCAGATTTCTGCGAATTGTTTAAAATAGCCCCTAGCCGAGCACTAGCTGGGACGAATTTATTTTTAGGTTAAATTTATAATTCTACGAAATAATTCGAATTATTAATTCGATTGTGAAATATGAATTATTAGTAATTATTCGATGGTAAAAATAATTCCATTATTCCCATCACTAATATAAATCTTATCAACTTTAATTAATAAAATCATTTCTTATAAACTTTAGTATTTGGCTTATTATACAGGGTTAATTGAAGGGTTGTTTTTTACCCTAACTTTAAAACACCCTGTGCAATAATTTCGTGAGTAACTTTTCCTAATACATCATTTTTCGATCAACACCATATCTCCTGAGCATTTTGTTTTTTGACTCAAGTCAACACATCATACCTTGGTTAATTTTTAAGAGCGAAATGAACTTGCCACCAACAATTTGCAATTTTTCAACTATCATTACTTTATGATGATATTTTTTAATATCATGAGATGGCTTTGGTGACTATAATCGTAATGTCATATCGCCGCTGATTATAACTCTATATTAACATTAAAAAACCGTTAAAAACTAACGATACAGGCTTGATTTTAATAAATATTAGTAACACTAATAGAATTAAGGATATTAAAAAAATAACTCTCATAACTAAGTGTACAAACAAACAAAAAACTTGTAAAAAACACTTTAATACTTTGCATTGCCTCCCCCTGTTGCTATAACTGTCTGTAGATGTCGGTTCATAGTGTTAATGAGGCTGCAAATATATTCTGTTACATTTTCCCATTCTTCTTGAAGGACCAAGAAAATATTCATAACTTCAGCCATCTTCAACAAGATCAATGACTTCTGAACAATCTTCTACACAGAGACTACACTACTTCTATCGTACTCAAGAATATAATCACCAAAGCCACCTCGTTATTATGAAGATTAACATCAAAAAGTAACGATAATTGAAGAAATTGCAAAATGTTTGTGGCAAGTTCATTTTGCTGTTAACTAGGCATATGTGTTGACATGAGACAAAAAACAAAATATTCAGGAGGTATGGTTCTGACAGACAAATAAGGTTTTAGGATAATTTGCTCACAAAATTATTGTAGAGGGTGTTTTTAAAAATAGGGTAAAAACAACTCTTTGATTAACCCTGTATAATAAGTTAAATACTTTATAATAAACTTATTAAGTTTATTATAAAAGTTTATAATAAACTGAGTTCACGAATTAAAGTTCATATATTTATACAGGGTGGTCCGAACTGTATTCCGGAAACTTTGGGAAGCATATTCCGCAGATAAAAATAAGTAAAATAGTTCGTATAAATTATACTATACTTAGTTTCGGGGATACAGGGTGTAGAAGTTTTACTTTTATTTCGATTTATTCCAAATAATTTCTAAAGAAACGTCAATATTTGGGTGAAAATTGGTGTCTGGTAGTTTTTTGACATGAGAAATTTGATTTTGATGTCAGTATGACTCCTATATGTAGAGGGCGCTACCTACATATTTTTAACTGGTTTGAAGATTAATAACTTTTTGTCCGTACCTGTATAAAACTACTGAGTAAAAAAATATACATTTACGATGCTTTTTACGTAAAAAAGGTGTCTTGGTAAAAATCGCTGCCGAGTAATAGTTTTCGATATATTTAGAATCGAAATTATCAATACCTGTCATAAATAATTACTATACATGTTGACTAATTGGTTATTAGATAGAAATTATAAATTTGAAATGTTTTTGTGCTAAAAGTTCAAAAGAAACTGTCTTATCATAATTTTTTCGAAGAAAAATTTATGATTATTTAAAAAAAAAAGTTCCCAAATTTATCATTTCAGTCAAATAAACTATGTAACATGTATTGACTATTTCCATTCTAAATATCTTGAGAACGGTTGCCCCATATACATATCAAATATATACGGATTATCGCCTATCCCTGCAATGTGATGGAGTTGAAGCCGAGTTAGAGACAACTAGATAATCGGTCCATGTATATTTCACATAAGTTCGTCTGTTAGGCAGATACTGGCGCAACAGCGCAACTCCAAAATTCCGAATATCGATTAGCCCTTACTCTGAGGATTGGCCAATTGTTGAATGGGAACGCAAACGAAAACCGTACGAAGTTGGACGGAGCCGTACGAATGAACAGCTGGTGCTAGCGTCTAGTCTCTTATTGGTCTGGATATCTGATCAATAATTCAAAATCCAGGCTTGCGCACTACGCTTGAGCACAGGTAACTGAGCGACTTATGCAAATTCCTTCAAAAGATTTATATACCCATTTCACCGGCTTGGCTTCACAGACTGCAGTTTGGAGTCGCTATTCTTTAGTTAATATATATATGGGTTGCCCGTAGCGATTTTCACCAAGAGACATTTCTTAAGTTAAAAATCTCGGAAATGTATATTTTTTCACTCAGTAGCTTTATACAGGTACGGACGAAAAGTGAATACCCTTCAAAACAGTTAAAACACATGCAGGTGGCGCCCCCTACAAATAGGAGTCATATTAACATCAAAATCAAATTTCTCATGTTAAAAAACTCCCAGACAGCAATTTTCATCCAAATATTGACGTTACTTCAGAAATTAATTGGAAAAAATCGAAATAAAAATGAAACTTCTACACCCTGTATCTCCGAAACTATCCTTTTTAGGACATATATTTATACAAACTTTTTATCTGCAGAATATGTTGCCTAAGTTACCGGAATACAGTTCGGACCACCCTGTATACAGTTTACTTAAAAAAACAAGGAAATAGGACTAAAAATAAAAAATATTCAGTATTTTAAACTTGACCAAAAAATTTTCCTTTGCGCTTTTATTGCATCTGAGTGTACGAATTAAAAATTATCTTTAAATAAATTATCCCGACTTAAATATGAAAATATACTTAATTATTTATACATTAAATTTGTATATATTTTATACTTTTTCTATCTCATTTAAGTGTCATAAAAGTACCTTTTAATTTTCTTCATCCTCGCTATCTTCAAGTTCAGGCATTGGAAATCTTAAGATTGCAGCTACTCCAGTAAGTTGCTCCAGTTCTAAATTATGTAGTAATTCAATACAAATAATTTCAATATAATTATACACTTACGTTCACCAGATATATGCATACTGGAAAAAATTTTAGCGTCACCTCCCGACTCACGAACTGAATCCACTAAATTTACATAATCTTTCCTTAACTTGACATCATCACATCTGAAATAATCTACACCATTAATTCCATACCCCAACAGTTAAATAGTGAAAATACCTAAATAGTTTGTCGGATATCAGTAAAGTCTCTATGGCTTGAGCCTCATTTGCTCGCTCCACATGTTTCTTACCATAAAATGCTTTGGCAGGTTCACATTGTAAAGTTGTATAAAAACTTTCTAATGCTTTCACTTCACCTGCTGCTTTTGTGTCAGAAATCTTGCTCATAACAGACGGATCTTGAAGCACTTCTAATAAAAAAATAGTAAACGGTTGTAAATAAATATGTAAAAAGATACCTTTTAAAGAGTGTTTAAATCCAGACGAGGAATGGACTAACATAAATTTTGATTTATTCTCCAATAAAACCTTGTTGTCTGTTTTTACAGCCATTTGAAACATGTATTCGAAAAATTGATCGCGAACAAATCCAGGCGATGCAATAAGAATGCACTTAACTATCTCGAAATCTACATGCCTTAGTATAGCTTGCATTACTTGATCATAAAATTTGATTAAACCCTAGAACAGGTTTCAGTTAGAAATTATAAAACAATATTACTTCCCTGATACTTTTTCATGTTGTTGAACAAATCCTTTTCTCTTTCTTGGAATGTTAACATCAATTTTAGCTCTAATTAATGTCATACTCGATGTAATTAAACAAACATGAGCTAGACCTTCTTGCATAACAACAGCTGCAACATCGGCTGACTTTGAAGGGTCACAAGCGAGCTCTATTCTTTCTAGGGACACTGAATCCCATTCGTGTTTCCAAAGTGAAAATTTTCTATTTAATTCAAGATCTAATGTATGGTATGCACCCATCTACAAAAATAAATATATTTCCAGGAAATGCATAATTAAATATTAGGTAAAGTTAGAAAACATACTTTTACATATTGATTTTCCTCTATATTTCTGCCTTTCAGTCTCAACATACATGCTTGAGTGTCAAAATCAATGTTTTCTACAGTAATTGTTAAAGTTGTCCTCACTCGGGTTGATGTTGATGATCCAGTTGATGATTCAGTTTGAACTTTACGAATTGTAGAGCTCTTAACTGAATCGCCTTCTGATATGAGATTGTAAGCATGCCACATATCTTCTGGTTCTTCAGGGATGAGAGTTACAGAACTGTGAGAAAGACATTATATCAAAACATTACTTGGTTACTTTCATAACTATCCTACTGTAATATGTAACTAAAACTATTTACAAAATAAAACTAAAACCGAAATGCTTCATATACTATCTATATCAAACATCTATATAAAAATATTATTGAAACATATTGCATTAAATGGGATAATATTACTAAATACTTTATAACACAAATGTCCCATATAATACCTATTAGAATATTTATTTAAAAAAATTACTGAAACATATTCTAACAAATTATTTCTGCAATACCTTGCAATATTATAAAATTGCTCTAAATTAACTGAATCTCTAAAATTTGTTAAATTAAAAAATATCTACAAATTCTGTATTGGATGCAATAAATTTGTGTTTAAAAGAATTTAACATTCACTTACCCCTCACCCCCTTTATCTATATCTTTATGTATAAGCTTCATTTCAACTTATCAAATTTACTGGTCTCAGAAAATAAATAATTAACGGAGAAAATCATTGTTTTTGGGAGAATAGATTCAGGAATTTTTCTAGTAGAGTGCATGAAATTTCATTTCTATTTACAATTATCTGTCAATGTCAAATCTCCTATGACATTTGTTGTTTGAGTATGTTCGAAAAAATAACGGTAGTTTACTACATATTGTCATTTGAGTAGTTATCTGTGGTTTATTACATCAGGGACGCAGCTTAAATATTACTGTGTCGGGAGTTCTTTCATCAAAATCGTCGACTGAGATCACGTGGAAAAACGTCACTGAAGAACACTAAAAAATCTTTTTTTCCATAGCAACTGTTGAAATTGCCATTTATATCTATCAAACATAGTAGATAAAATAATACTTTAACCGCAAGGGTAGATTAGAGGGTAGATACTTTAACATATGACTTTAACAGCGAGGATAGGACCGGATCGGTTAAAAACTTATTTCTTCTCCAACGTTTTTTAATTGCTTCCATTTTTGAAAATTGTTGTATTCCTTTTCATAAGTTATTCGGGATTTAAATGGAAGTAGTTTGGATATGGCGTTTGTCGCCTCAACCTGAATATCATCTGTATTTCGTTTTGAGCCATTTCTCGCTCCAATTCAATCAGCAATCGACACGAAAGAGAATTAAAAAACATTGACTCAAAACTAAAGAGACAGCTTTATTTATTTGTCAAATTACATAGAAACCAACGCCAACTCAGCACAATATTTTTTCTACTCGTAATAAATTCCTTGAAATAAATTTCTGAATATTTTTTAAAGCGTAACTCGCTATGGAAAATAAATATTATTGTTTTATACGCGACGATAAAATTGCATTATCGTCTCCCGAAATTAATTCACTCGCGATTTCATCGCTCGTGAGTTAATCTTTTCGCTCGACGATAAAATATCATTTTATCGTCTTGTATAGAGAATCACTATTAATTTTTGTTATAAGAGTTATATGAAGATGTGTTTAAAATGCATTCTAATCTAATAAATTTTATCCATTATCTGACATATATTATTATGTGAATAAGATACAAATCACCGAATAAATCATTTAATTAAAGGGCATATATTTAAACGTAATAAATTTATGTAAAAATTATTCTGTTTGTCAAAATTGTACTGTATCATCGAAAAAAAAAGAAACGGCGGCTATGAAATGAAGATCGCTGTCATTTTCCATGTAAAATTATATGGGGAATGTCATTCATGTTCATTTCCAAGCCAACTGGACGCCGTTTTATTTTCGATCATACGGTACTTGGATTGCGTTGTACCAACTCATCGCGTTCTGTAAAAGTAGAAGTTGTCATGCCTTGCGAATTTGAGCCTTCTGAAAAACATTAGTTTAGCTTCCGTAAAATTAGTTTAGATCCCACACTGTATGAAAGTTATTTATTACATATACAGGCTGTTTCAAAAAACATGTGCCATCTCTCGTGGGGATAGATTCCTCATATAAAAATAAAATTTATTTTTTTATATTATCGTTAGTCCGATTTCGAGAATAACTGAATAGTTACATATGCTTATCCCTTTTAAGTTTTCATGGAAAATATCCTTGCAACTTTTGAGTTGTCCACTCAGTTTCCTCTTACCCTCTACAAACTCACAGTAAAGAAGAGATTTTGATAGGCGGTTTCCTTGCATTCATGACCATACGTGACCAGCCCATCTTAAGCGGGATTTAGTAATCATGACTTCAGCTGGTCACAACTAGCTGTTTCCAAGACTGATATGTTTGAGACATGGTGGTACCATTTGATTCTTAACAGTTGTCTAAGCAGGTGTCTCTGTTGCAACTTGTTTAATGCGTTCGTGTGCAGGCGGTACTTGCACTTCGGTTTCGATTCCGTATAACATGGTGGGTATTATTATTGCTCGGTACACTGCAAATATTGTTTTTGTGCTCAAGTCGTGATCGTAGAAAGCCCCGTCTTTTAATTTCCAGAATGCTCTTGAGGCGCTGCTAATTCTATGCTGAATGTCAGAGTCAATATATTTGCCTTTTCCGAAATCAAACTGCCGAGGTAATTGAATTCCGCTATATATTCCAGTATTTCTTCTATACAGGGTGTCCCAGAAATAAGTGCAAGTATGTTAACTGGTAGTATAGTTCAACCCCAGAAACACGCCTATAAGGTTTTTTCGCGAAAAAAAAAATAAAAAATTCGAAATTTTTTGGAAATATTTTTAGTTTTTAGTTATAAAAAATATAATTTCTTGATAATATGGCAACATAGGTAATAGATTAAATTTATAAGAAAGAAAATCCAGAAAAGATCCAGTGGTTCTCAAAATTTTAGCAAAAAATATTTTTTTTTTGGAAATTTTCAAAGTAAAATAACTCCGTTATTTTGGACTTATTTGAAAAACGATAAAGAGAAAATATGTTTCTTTTATCGAGATCTACCACCCCTTAAATACTTGCACTTATTTCTGGGACACCCTGTATAGCCACTGTTCTTTTTATAGCACTGTTACGATTTTCCGGAGGCATGACTTTAGAACGATGTTCAGTTTAAGGCCCAAAGTCACGTATGCCCACGTATACCTATGTGTTCAGCACTTTTTGTAATTGCTGTAATGTTTTTGCAACTAGAGCGCAATCATCAGCGTATTGAAGTTCTGTGATGAATTTTATACGTATTTTTGCCATAAGTTTTTTTATGTTGAACAGACCGTCGTCGAACCTGTAGCTAACACCCATTTCTCTTTCAAGCAGTTTGCTAGTTTGCTATCCACTATAATAGAGAGAGCTGCCATGAATATGGTGAATATGGGAGGAGCTAAGACATCCCTGCCTAACTCCTGTATTTGTCAACAGGAAGGGATCGTTCAGTGATCTATGATGTGACACTCTCGACTTGTTGTTATGGAAGCTTTTACACACTGTAAGAAATTTGTTGGTGACTCCGAACTTTTGCATAGTTGCCCAAAGTGCATCTCTGTTGACAGAGTCTTTTGTTAGGTCGATGAATGCTACATAAAGTTTACTCTGCTGCTCCTTTACTTTCTCCTGTAGTTGGGGGACGGAGAATAATGGAATCAACGGTACCGCGCTTGGTGCGAAAGCTTGTTTGCGCTTCTAGGAGGATTTTTTTCTATATGTGGGTGCAGGCGGTTTGATCATTTTTGCAAGAATTTTCCTCCGATATAGCCGGTAGTGAAATTCCCCGGTAATTTCCGCAATCTGATGCACTTCCTTTGTTCTTAAATATATTCACTAGATTTGCATTGCGAAAGTCCTGAGGTACCTCTTCGCTTTCCCATATGACATGGAAGAGAACCTTAAGGTGACCAATAAATTTTTTACTTGCACACTTATAGATTTTCGCTAAAATCGTGTCACAGCCAACCGATTTGTTGATTTTAAGTTGTTTATGGAGGCCTTTATTTCCTCTTCCGTTATTGGGATATCTAATACATCGATTGTCTCCTCAACTATTTAACATATACGGAGAATCATCATGGGAAGGTCGCTAGAAACATGAGAAGGAGGCATTTCAATAAATGGCCAAAAAATAAATAATCTACGCTTTGCAGATGATACAGAACTACTCGCTAGCAGTCAAGAAGAGTTAATCAATTTAGTAAATAGGGTAGAAAATGAAAGCAATCGGCTCGGTCTGGGACTAAATACACAAAAACCAAAATCATGATAGTTGATAGGCAACATAACAACAATCCAAATATAAGTCATATCGACCGCTTTGAAGTCGTTAAGTTATACGTATACCTGGGATCACTATATATTGACAAATACAGGCAGATCGGAAGAAGAGGTGAAGCGTAGGTGCAACATGGCAAAGGTAACTGTTGGGAGACTGACCATGCAAGATCTGGAAAGACCGCCAGATTTCAAGAGCCATCAAAAACCGGCTAGTCAACTGTTTGGTACTCCCAATATTGACGTATGGACTCTCAGGCAGGCGGAACGTAAGGGTATGGACACAACGGGGACCAGTGACCCTCGACCTCGATAGCATAGCACCCTAGACCCTTGCCCCATACAGCACGTCCAAATGAAATTACGTTTCTACAAGGGAGACACATGAGAAACAAAATGTGTTAAAGTGAACCTAAGTGTTTATCTAGTTCTAACATATACATATGAGATACACGCAGGTTTATATTGATAAAATTGTATGATACAGTGTTTACTAGTTGTATACCGTATGCACTTAAGATTCTAAAGAGTTTTTTGTAACGTAAGAAATAATTATTAAAATGATGAAATCTGACGTCGGTATATGAGACATACAATGTATAAGTCATATGTATGTGTGATACTTCGTATCATAGTTGTGCCTATAGTACACACATTGTAAAAATGTGACCTATACACATAATATAAATATCTATATAGACACTTTGTAATAGTGTACTGTTGTGTCTACATTCTAGCATGAAATGAAGGTGTGCGCCCGCGCGGGTAGCCTCAGCGTAGATACACCGACCAAGTGTATCTTATGTGTCCTCTCTCCTTCCTCCTTTCTAGGAGTGGTATGTGTTAGCAGCCATTATTGTTTAACATTCGGAAGCTCTATATAAATGTTCTGTTTGTGTGTAGTTTAAAAGAGATTTTAAGGTAAGCACAAGTTTTTAATTGCCTTGTTACACCTTCCTAAGAGTATTATTAATATTATAGCAGCGACTCTTCCCTTACTCGATACCTAATTTACCAAATTTTGACACCAATGAATGAAAACTCCAAATATTCTCGTATAATGATAAAAAGGTTAGCTCTTCAATATAATTTTTTTTTAATTTGGAAATAATAAAAATCTAAATGGACCAGAGAAAGAAAGATTTAAACACTTCAAAGAACTTCTTACACTGATATTCGGTAAGTTATTGATGGATCAATATACAGATATGTTTAATATTCAATAATCAGTTTCATATAAAATTTAAGGGTGAAATTGTTAATCTGGAAATAAAATACAACAAAGTCCAACAGAGTGCTCGTTGAATGAGTATGCTAACAAACCAACTACTTGGAGGGAAAAGAGGAGAAAAAAATGACTAAACGAGGTCCACCAAATCGTGGCGATATACCAGTGTTTACCATTTTAGTATGTTTTGTTATACTAGGTACTTATATTTTTAATACATTTTGATACAAATTCTGTTCTTTTACAGTGTTTTCTTAGTTCTGGTTTCTGCAGTGTAAATAATTATTATTATTGTGTTATTTGCGCTATTGCGTTTCATGATACCTATAAAGAAATATAAGAATTTTATTTTTTAGCCACTTAATCCATTTTATGGAAGAAAAATGGTACATTTAATACAAAACAAAAATGGAACAATTTAAGGCTACTTCTCTTGAACTTACGATAGAGATACTTTTGGAAAATACAAAGTTTTGCCTTCCTAATTTTTGTTCTAAAAAGATATAATTGGTATCATTGAATAAATATTTCTTAAAAAGAACGAAAAGTTAGGCATCAAAACTTGTATTATTTCCTAAATTCGTTCATAAGAAGTAGTTTTATCTAGCACAAGATGTATACGAAGCAAAATACATACGTATACACGCGGTAGTCACAACTGCAATGTGTAAACAGAGTTTAAACGTAATACACAAGCACTGTGTATCCTACGGCACACTGTGTATCCCTTACTTTGTGTATACGTAAATGATATACTGTGGCTACATTGTGAGGCGGACGTTTAACCTTTGTGCATACGTGTTGAACTACAGTGTGTAAACGTAGCATATTTACATCGGGGGAATTGTGTCACCCTGTGTCTACATCTAATAATGTAAACACATCGTAAATGTGATTTGATGTGCTGTATGGGGCGCTAAGCCTCGCTCCGACCCACGCACACAAACGGTCATATCGAGGCCCGTACATTTTCAGCAACGTACTTTTGTACCAGTTAAGCAGGAACTATTGTCCCAGAATCATAGATATTTCGACATCTTCTTCTTCAAGTGAAGATGATATTATTCTGAATTCAAGTGCTAAAATGGGGTTCCTAGAAAAAAAAGTGTCAAAATAAAAAGGTACATCCCCTAAACAAAAAGCGGATGATGTATGGAGAATTGCATCATTTGTATAAGGATTTACGAAAGGACCCGGTCAAGTTTTTTGACTATGTGAGAATGAAAATAAAAACATTTGATTACATTTTAAAGGAGCTTGGAGATAAATTGAACAAAATTTATTCAAAATAATACAGTTGTGATGATTTTTGTCTCTTTTATTCCAAATAGGTTCGCGAACAAACACTTGCCCGATTAATTTTTCTTTGTCCATAGCGGCGATTCAATGCGATATACACTGGTCGAAGGTAAAAAAATACTAAGCTCAGTTTCTATCCTGGCACCACCTACCAAACCTTAGCATTAAACTATGTGCGGAGCGAAGATCGGCGCCTTTGATGTGACCGCACAGATTTAATTATGTGTGCTAATTTTTTGAGTGAGCGAAGCTATGGGGCGATACTATGGTCAGAGCGATGGTCGGCGCTCCGTTGTGTCTGTACACTAAGAAGATCGATGCTACCGAGATGTATACATATAGACGCTCCGTATCCCATGGACCGAACGCCGTACAAACGTTTCAATTATAAATTAACTTAATATTACCAACAAGCTTTCCTGTAAAATCCGACTAAAACAACTAAAATATTTTGGACATATAATGAGGAAAAGTCCAGACAATATGGAAAGACTGATAATTCCAGGCAAGGTGGAGGAACGTAGACCACGTGGCCGCTCTCCGACTCGATGGATAGACCAGATCACGGCTAGCTGTAGTAAAGCAATGCACGATGTCATCGAGATGACAAAAGACAGAGCCGCATGGTGAAAAATCATCCATGATGTTAGGGTGCATCCACACTATCCTAAACACGGCGTATCGGCGTAACGTCCTTGAATAGATTTCCAGTAATTCTATTTGCTGAAAAATTCATCTGTCAGAAATAGTATCTGTAAAATTCATCTGTCAAAAATTTCAGCCAATAGAATTACTGGAAATCGATTCAAGGTCGTTACGCCCGCCGTTACGCCATATGCCGTCTTTAGGATAGTCTGGATGCACCCTTACGCTGACCACTACACTCCCTAATGGGGGTCAGGACTGAAGAGAGAGTATACATCGATGCTGTAATACTGAGGTATTGTGTTTAGTGCTTCCATATTGGGGATGTTTTCTTGGTTATGGGTATGGCTGTGATGCTCTTTCCAGCGATTTCTGATTTGCTCTTCTTCTTTTAGAAGGTCATCGTTTTTTGAGTTTGCGTACACTAGTAAAATCACGTGCGATGATTGATCGGTATTTTTTATTCGATCCAAAAAAATAAAAATATGATTTCAGTTGGATTAACAGATGTACAGAGGGAAAGAATTATTGCTCACATTGAACATGAAATGATAACTTATGGAAGGTACTTGGAACTAGGAACTCTCAAGAACACGCTCAGACAAAGTCGTCACATAGTCACAAGTGAACAAGATCGCTTTGTGTGCCAAAATGCTAGAAAAAAATTTCAATGTTTTTCATCTGGAGCTACAAAGACAATTTCTGGATGCTACAGGTGTGAACGTTTCAGTTGAAACCATAAGAAGAAAAGCTTCGTGCTCAAGGGTTGTACAGTAGGAGAGCAAAAACTCCATTGTCTTTCCATGTTCACCAGATCTAAACCCTATCGAACACTTGTGGGATCAGCTCAAAAGAAGGGTTAGAGCTCGTCGAAACAATCCAGGAAATCTGGCACAGCTTATTGATGCAGCATTAGCAGAATGGGAAAACATACCCCAAAACAACGTTGATAATTTAATAAAAAGCATGCCAGCTCGGATAGAAGCTTGCATAAGGGCTAGAGGTGGCAACACGGATTATTAAAATTATTAATTTTCTTTTTGTTTTTGTTTTTCGACCATTAAAAATTTAAATCTCATTTCGTTTCAGAAACCAAAAAAATACCATTGTGCTTATTTTGGGAACTGATTTTTTTGATATATGGATTATTTTTCATTAAAAATCTTTGGAAAGGACTGAGTTTTATTCATAAACATAAAATGTTTATACTTTACACTCAAAAGTTATGAAAAATAATAGATGATTCCATATAAGTTTGGTTGTGTTTATGTATTCCACCGTATATTAACAAAATTTTGATCGTGTGTATGAAATTGCCAGTAACTTACTCATACCCTAAAACCTATTAGGAAAAATAATTAGTCCTTACCATTATATCAATTTACCATTTAGTGGTTATTACATTTTCTTATCAATATCCAGTAATTGCAACACATAACTAATTATGCCATTCGTATTGAACCAATATCATAAATATTATTATTATTTTTATATATTTTCCTTGATATTTAAAACAACGATACACTACTTTTTCATATCATATATTACATAGAAATTGTTTAATAGAATACATTTTAAAAATTAAGTGTATGTACTTCACTATGGGTTTTTTCAAAAACTTTTTATATGGATTAGTATTTGTAACTTTCCTGAACACATTAGGTAGTATTCATAATTTTATAAAATTTATATCTAATTCTGGATTTAATTTTTAGGATGCCACTCAAAGCACCACGCTAGTAAGTATTAGTGATTTATTTTAAAGAGTATCATCATGAGTAAATCTATGGATATTGGATTAATATTCCTTTTTGACTTAAACTTTTATATAAAAAAATCTTTATTTATTAGGTATTGCGTTGGTTTTTATTTTTAAACATTTAGTAAAATTGTATTGGTTGAAATATACCGGGTGCGTCTCAAAAGTGGCTCACTCCTATAACTTTTATATTTTTCAGATAAACAAACGAGATGTGATTAGTATTTGACAGCGTGTTTTGATGTGATTAGTATATGACATAAATTAGGATTGATTGACGTATTCAATTGTTTTTGGTCACTTCCTGTTTCACTGCAAATGACTACAACTTTTAGTATTTAAATGGCACCGTCGGTATATTTTTACTTTATTCGATAAAAAATTACAGTCTTTGTCAACTTTTGACATTTTTGCTTAAAAAAATTGTATTTTAAATTTAAATCTAGAGTACCATGGCCGTGTTAAAAATACTAATTTTTAATTAAGAAACCTTGGAACAGTAGATTTGATTGTCTAATGTTTTTCGTGTTTTGTCCTGGCCGGTTAATAGATGCCCAAATCGTATTTTTAATCATATATCATTTTTTCAAATGGAACAAGGGTAGCTCATTAGCATATTTGAAAAAATATATTTTTTAAGAATAATTTGGTACCACACACTTGGTATTTCGAGTCAAATTGTTGTTATGAACCGCATGTTACAATTTCAAATAAACCATATGTGGAAATGTCAAAAATGTTCAAATCGTATTTTTAATCATATCTCAATTTTTTTGAAATGAAACGCTGGTGGCTCATTAGCATATTTGGAAAAAGCATTTTTTACGAATAATTTGATACCACACACTTGGTATTTCGAGTCAAATTTTCGTTACGAACTGCAAGTTATAATTTCAAATAAACCATATGCGAAAATATCAAAAGTTGAAATATTATATGTCATTCTATTCAGAGTGCAATTCTCTATCGAATACAGTAAGAAATACCGAGGGTGTAATTTATTTTTGTTTGTTGTAGTCATTTCCGTTGAAACAGGAAGTGACCAAAAACAATTAAATACGTCAGTCCTAATTTATGACATAGAATAACATACCAAATCTTGTTTTTTATATGAAAACATAAAAAAGTTATAGGGGAGAGCCACTTTTGAGACACACCCGGTTGATTTAAATAACTAAAAGCAATTAAAATTATTTATTAATATTTAACCTTCCGTTACTCGCGATTCCTACGTATCTTTTTTTTCCTAAGTAAGAACTTGGTTGGGGTATTTTAATACCCCAATTATTTTTTTATGACAAAAAAAATATTTTGATGGCATATGCGTAATTATGTAAAACATACCCGTTTATTTAAATTTTAACAATTGTATATAGACATTGAAAAACTTGTAAATTGTAACTAAATATTAATTGCCTGAATTTCGGGTCCGTAAACTATTTTGGCCTTATTTGCTAAGCCATTGTTGACAACGATAACACCTTTTTTGCCAGATTTAGACCTCTTTTGCAAATGTAATGTTTTAAGATAATATACTTTAGTAGTTTGACTCTTCCCTCCTAGTGCAGGATCCGGTTACAGGATTATTACGCTCATCATATTTTTAATTAAAACCTAATTTTTACGTATATTTGTGAATAGGGAAATTTTTTTAACAGAGTGCAAATCAAAATGTTGCCCCCTAAAAAGGGGTTGCCACGGTCCAAAGTTTTTCCTACTACTGTATACGGGTCCGGCAACAATGCGTCGGGCATTCGTAGCAGTGGCGGACTAAGCCTGTCGGGGGCCCCAGGGCGGCAAAGCTAAATGTGGCCCCGGTCTGCACATTTTGTAAAGATTGAATGACGTATGAATAATGGTTGACAAATTTCAAGTATTTATATACTGTACTAATTGTAATAAAAATCGATATATCTACAGGGTGTCACAGAAATACGTGCAAGTATTTTAAGGGGTGGTAGATAAAAGAACCATATTTATTCTTTATCGTTTTTCAAATAAGTCCAAAATAACGGAGTTATTTTACTTTGAAAATATACAAAAAAAAATTTTGCTCTTTTAAATTTGTTCTCTCTTATACAATACCTATGTTGTCATATTAACAAGAAATTATGTTTTTTAACTAAAAACTAAAAAAATTCCCGAAGTTTTCAATTGTTTTTTCGCGAAAAAAACCTCAGAGGCGTGTTTCTGGGGTTGAACTTTACTACCATAAAATACTTGTACTTATTTCTGGAACACCCTGTATATTACAGGCAGTATGTCCCCGGATTGTCTTTACAAGAGAAAAAACTTTATAATTATTGACTTTTTGAAAAAAATGCGTTCATACGAATTTTTGCTTGTTGTAAAATGGCGTTTATAATTTTCTAAATATCCATACCGTTTTAGAAAAAATAAAAAAAAACCATAAAAATGTAGTTATTTAATGTAATTTTTCCCCAAAAAAATCCTAAAAAATCTAAAAGTCCTAAAAATTAAAACGCTATGGTAATATAATTTCGATTTAATTTTTTGATAGATCGTTATAATTCATTTTGATTAACGTCATATTTTTTGATGTTAAAGTATCACATTTTCCGATAACTATTATCACCCTTTCCGTAGCATTGAACTAAATAAATTTTGTGCTCCTTTACCATTTTGAAACAGCAAAAAATATAACTTTAATTAAAATATTGTTAATAATAATCTATCAAAAAATTATCACGAAATTATATTACCATAGAAAATAGAAAGGCGTTTTATTTTTACTAGTTCAAAAATTCAACTACATTTTCATGTTTTTTTTTATTTTTCTCTAAAACGGTATGGAAATTTGGAAAAGTATAAACAGGAATTACCATTTTAGAACAAGCAAACATTTTTATGAAGACAATCTGCGGACATACTGTAGATATAAATATGTTATTCATCGGCAGTGCCGTTTTTACGTAGGGACCCGACGCGCGACGGGCCCCGACCAAAGAATTAAGGGCCCCCTCAAGGGCCTCTGCTTCAAAAAGTATCAAAAACGATAACATCATTTTTTTTAAAGCTTATAATAATACATTTAAATTGAAAAACGAATGCAATTTGACGTAATAAAACAATCCCCGAGCGAATGTTTACATATATTTAATGGCAATTTATGATGACAAAGTGATGGGAATATCGGTTCCACATATAAGCCGCGTTACTTTCGGGACCGTTCCAGGTAAATACCGCGATTTTGTAAGGGGCTCCTTACAAAATCGCGGTATACTCCTATATAATATCCAAGAATAAATAATAATTATTCGAATATAAAAAATAATAATTATTCGATATTCTAAACAAAGCCATTGACAATTACTGGGGCCTAATAATTGATAATTAAGTAAATATCTGCTTCCATTTATACTGTGTTTAGTTTGCGTATACTTATGGTTTGCATACTCCAACTACAAATTGCTTTATAACTACTGAACACATATTGGCCTGTTTGCCAGTTGAATAAAAAATTACTTATTAAGATTTGGAGGCCCCCTAGAAGAAGAGGCCCGGGGCGGACCGCCCCTTCCGCCCCCCCCCCCTTAGTCCGCTACTGATTCGTAGCTCCTATAATAAAAAACTTAGGAATTTTGGATAAGTGCACAACTAAGTATGTATTTCAGTATGTATATTAGGATGTATTTCACGAAAATATTTTAATTTCTACAGGGTGTACGTGGTACATTTCTACATTTCTACAACAATTTCCACAAATACCTAAAAAATATATATTTTCAGCATTTAAAAAAAATTATAAATACCAGAAATGCCCTGAAATCAAAACTATACTAGTTATTTACTATAGTTGGCCTCTACTTACTTCTTACTTTTTTACGTTCAAAATTCTATGCCAAACTTTTTAAAATATAAAATAGGTGTTCTTCTTTTGTAAGATTTTGTTTAGATAGAAAATTAAAAAATGTCCATTTTTTAATTTTCTATCTAATAAAGGAAAAATAACAGGATGCTCTTAAAAGAAAAATGAAGAGAAACTATTTTTTATTTTAGAAAGTTTGGCATAGAATTTTGAACACCCTGTATGGTTTTAGACTACGACATTTATAGGAACGTAACTACAACCAATTATAGTAAATACCTAATATAATTTAGATTTCGGAACATTTCTTCTATTTATAATATATTTTTTATAAACTGAAAAAACTTTTTTTTATTTATTTATTAATATTTATGAAACTCTCCAAAAAAATCCTTTATGGGTATTTCGCCACTTGACGACGGAAAGAGATAAACTTTCCGAAACGTTAATCATTTTTTTCTTTGTTAGGCAAATTTGTATAACTGTAAACATAACTTCTGACAAGCAGTGACCGTTTAGGTTTAACGCACAAGTGTTTACAAAAAATAACTATTTTATTTTGTAGTTTTTTCTTGCAGTGCAGTGGCGAAATACCCATAAAGGATTTTTTTGGAGAGATGAATCCGCCACATAGGTATAGACATTTTTTATTTATGAAACTATCAAAACATATTTAATAATATGATATATTATTAAATAAATATTTCTGATAATTCTTTCTCTGCGGTTTTCGACAAAAGTGGCGTTTCTAAAACACTATGTATCTTTTCCACTATCGCTTTAAAAGCAACAGGTACCAACCAAATATTAGCATCATCTCCTTCAGTTTTCTTAATCCAACCTGCTATTGGTTCTAGAAGTTCAAAAAATTTCATGACTTGAATCTAAAAAATATCGTCATCGAGCAAAATATTTTTGTCTTCTTTCGAAAGAATATTCAAGGCATCTTTGCTAATGTGTTTTGAATATATTTCTCTTTATTAAGTTTTGTTAAGATACTTGACAAAACCTGTGAAGTTCCTGAAACGTATAAGAACGTTCCCCAGGAAACGTTTCAACCAGCACATCACCAGTCTCAAATAAGTGCAAATAATATTTTCAAGGCTGGTAGATCTCGATAAAAAAACGAAATATATTTTCTCTTTGCCGTGGATTAACCACTGGATCTTTTCTAGATATTCTTTCTTGTAAATTTAATCTACTACCTATGTTGCCATATTATCAACAAATTATATTTTAAAAAATCTACGAATCTAAATTTTTTCGAAAAAACCTCTTAATCGCTTTTCTGGGGTCGAAATATGCTATCCCTAAAATATTTGCATTTATTTTAGATTCACCCTGTATATCCTAATACATACTTTAGATTTGCACTTATCCAAAATTCCTAAGTTTTTTTTTATTATATGAGCTACAAATGCCCGACGTATTGGTGCCGGACCCGCATAAAGTAGTAGGAAAAACTTTGAACCGTGGCAACCCCTATTTGCTGCAACTTTTTGACTGGCATTCTGTTAAAAGTGTATTCTATTCACAAATATACGTAAAAAATAGGTTTTGATGAAAATATGATGAGCGTAATAATCCTGCCTAGATCTTAGACTGCCCGGATTTGTTTCTAATTTTTATTTATATTTTTCAGATACCAGTGAAATATCAACTATTGTTGAGATACCAAAGGAAATTCTTAGTTTATTTCCCAGAGTCTTGTTTAATACAGAGTTTGATATTGCCGCTATAATAGCTAGAATCCTAACGTTTATTAGGGATTTTATAGAGAATTTGTTTAATTTTATAGTTAAAGTAGTAACTACAATACAGAAGTACCAACTGTCCATCGTAAAATCCATCGTTCACATTTTTGTACCGCATCAAGTCTATGACATACTTGTGAAGAATTTTCAGATTTTTCCAAAGTTTTTTTCGGCGGTATTTAATTTCGTGGAAAAACAGGTCGAGGAACAATTGAAGAAACATTCCAAAGAACTGGGACCAGTGGTTAAAGGCATCTCGGATAGGATTTTAGCTTTTATTCATTTTATCGAATGCTTTATAAAACCTACTTCCGCATGTTGCTTGGACCCTGGCCTTCCAAATGTGTCTCCGTTGGAAAACATACGATACGAAGTAACGACCCTGTTTAACAAATGGAAAGCTACATTTTTGGCCTTGTATGGAGATACAGGAAAGCATGGTGGTTCCAAGAAAGGTAAGATGTTATTTCATAACTATAACTGGTATAAAAATGCAGGGTGGCGATGGCGCACCTTATTCGCCTCGGTTAATTATATAAAAACGGAAAGATGTAGAAACAAAATATTTTATGGGTCTATGAGGGAAGACAATGTGCATAATTTAAAATTACTTTGAAATGTACAGGGTGTGTCAGTACTAAAATCCATACCAACGTTATATTTTTTTATGGAACACCCGGTATTTTATGTTATTTTTAGATTGTACGTCATAAAATAAGGCATTTATTATAAGGGTTTAATATTTTTAAAAGCTTTGTTTTTTGAGATATTTAAAGAAACTTAAATATACATGCTATAATAAAAAAGTTTGTTAAAACCCTGTACATTACCTTTCAGAATTAATTCTTGTGCTCAGTCAGCTGCTATGAACTTAAATAAAGTCCATAAACTAATTCCGATTTTGGTTTGGTTGTGACTAACTAACTATTACTAGAAAATTACCATGGCGATACCAGCCATCTTGGTTGCGATTTTATTGAGAAATCGCTTTTTATTAACCTAAAACCCTAATATAGTTTAAAAGAGCATTTAAATCTGCTTCGACTTATTTAAAAAAATACAGAGTGTTGCATTTCAATTAACGAAGTTATGTAAAATAAATATTTAAAAGAGACCAGCAATTTTTGATACCTCTGTATACATTTAAGGAAGCAATCAAATTTTTAGTAAAGTCTATTTCTCTGGCTTAAAAGTCAGCACAAAAATTAATTCTGAAAAGTAAAGTACAGGGTGTTAACAAACTTATTATAGCATGCATATTTAACTTTCTTTAAATATCTCAAAAAACAAAGCTTTTAGACATATTAAACCCTTACAATAAATGCCTTATTTTATGTGCTAGAATCTAAAAATGAAATAAAATACCGAGTCTTCTATAAGAAAAAATATAACTTTGGTATGGATCATTGTCTTCCTACATATACCCATAAAATATTTTGTTTTGGTTTGGTTTGGTTTGGTTTGGTTTCTACACTTTTCCGTTTTTGTGTAATTAACCCAGGCGAATGGGTTGCGCCACCCTGTATATTTATGTGTTTAATATATTTCTTACACTATTTATATTTTTATTTACTATTTAAAAAATAATGCTACGGATTCCGTGGGTCCACTAATTTAAACACACGATACAATACTCAACGAATTTATTTTCTCACTATACATACAGGGTGAGTTTCCTAAGATGTTCTCTATGGGTATCTCGGAAACTACTGGAGACAGAGGAAACTACTGGGGAAAGAATTGCAGTTTTGTGGGGTCATAAATATTCGCCTTTCAGATATTTTAAAAATTGTCTCTAATTCCATTATAAGCCATTTTACACAAAAAGTTTTCAAATAAAAGTTGTAGATAACCACATCCTTAATGAGACCGTGTCCTCCGTTTTTTTCTAAAGCCTATCATTTTTGATAATTAAGGAGGACCTAACCAAGAACCGCTTATCTTTGCTTTTAAATGCCGTGAATAAATTTACGAATAAAAATGTGTGGGTGCTTAATGGAACTATCTATATTAAGTGTAACGATGTAGTGCACAGAATTTCTGATGCGGATGATTTTAACAAATTAATATAGTAATAAACATGTTCTGTAAGTACAATTTTTTACAAAATTTTGATTATAAGAACCATTGAAATTACAAATGTACTGGTATACATACTAAATTCTTATTTTTGGTCTCTATTATATTTCATGGCTAAATTGTTTATGGCTGTCAATGGTGATACGTTTAATTTTATTTTATATTATTATATACCTAATATAGTTAGGGTATGAAATGTTTATTTTGGGCTGTTTTCTTTTTCAATTTACTTTGGTACTGTGTAGCATGTTTTGTTTACTTTAAATTGAGGATCATCCTTGAAGGAAACATGTAAATCTATTCTTATTATAATTTTTTAGCTATCAAATATATATTTTAGTACTGTTATATTTTTGAAATTGTGCGCTATATTGGTGCTAGTTTAAAAGTATTATGTGTTTGTACTGATTTTAAATTACGTTTGATGAACTACAATTTTAATTTTGTCCTATAGATATAATTTTTTCTCGCCTGTATATAGTTATATATATATTATTTTGGCGACTTTGTGTATTTCTGCCTATTGTGGATTATTCTACAAGCGCCTTTAATTTCTCCCATTTCAATATACGTTCAATTTTTTCTTCTTTTGATTTGTTTGCGGAACATGTAATTGGCGAAAACTATGATGTTCTGGGACTCTCAGAGACGTGGCTGTCTGGTAACGTGACAGATGGGGCTGTTTTATAAATGGTTATAACTTAATACGAAATGATCGAAATGGCCGAGGTGGTGGAGTGTGCTTCTATATTAAAAATTCACTAAAATACAAAGTTCTAACGGTTCCCTTAGATGACTCTACGTTGGAGCAGATCTGGGTGAGTGTGAGGGTGGGTAAGTTAAATTTTTGCCTGGGATCGGTGTATCGTCCTCCCGATTCTAATTTGTTGTGCTGTGTAAATGGTTTGGAGAATACTTTGATTGATGTGTTGCCTAAATTTGACTGCGTTTTATTCGGAGGAGATTTAAATGTCAATTATTTGAACAACGACAATAATATTTTACAAAAAATGTTCAACAAATATGGCTTAACACAAATGGTGGATTCGCCAACTAGAGTAACTAATGTTTCTCAGACGTTGCTAGATATTATTGTTTGTTCTCGTCCTAGTTTAATTAATGATGTAAATATTGTAGATATGGATCCAATATCGGATCACTCATTGGTTACTTGTACACTGAAAATTTTTACTAAAATTGACCAAATTAAATATCGTACATATCGTGATTATTCAAATTTTAATTATATCGACTTTATGAATGATTTAGAGATGCGCAATTGGGATCATATATATAGTCTGGACGAAGTTGATAAAATCGTAGAATACCTGAATATTAACATAAACTCAATTTTTGATGATCACGCTCCCATTAAATCATCTAAATTTACCAAAGCTCCTGCTCCGTGGCTTACAGAGAACTTAAAAATGATGATGAAGTTACGAAAGAAAGCCCTTTCAAAATATAAAAAACTTAAAACGGACGCATCCTGGAATTATTATAAAGATTTGCGTAATTTTGTTAGTATGGCAGTGAGAAACGAGAAAAAAGCTTATCTTGTCCATAAATTCAAATGTGATCCCAAGCAGTTCTGGAAGACAATAAGGTGGCTAAATATTAAATCGGTTGCCGACATAAAACCTGAAGAAATCCATAACGACCCTAATCAATTCAATAGGCATTTTACAGAGAATATTCCTGCCACTGATAGAAATGACAAGTTTTTAGACAAAAATTATGTAAATAAGACAATAACACTAAATACTAAAAAATTTACTTTTAAAAATGTAGATTGTACGCTTGTTTCGAAAATAATCTCTAAATTAACTTCTAGTGCTGTTGGCAGTGATGGTATAAACCTAAAAATGATATCTATTATAACGCCCTTTTTAACACCTCATATTGCATTTCTTATTAATAAATGTTTGTCGTTAAATGAATTTCCATCTGCTTGGAAGCATCTCAAATAATACCCATTCCCAAGATTTCAAAACCTACTTTAATTTCTCATTTTAGGCCCATCAGTATACTGCCTACACTTTCAAAAATATTAGAAAAAGTAGTCCATGAGCAACTTAGTCTGTTTTTAGCGAAAAACAATATACTTCCAAGTACGCAGTCCGGATTTCGCCCTCATCATAGTACTAATACAGCTCTGCTAGATGTCACTGATAATATTTTCCGAGCATATGATAAACATGAAAACACTTGTTTGGTCTTGCTAGATTATAGCAAAGCATTCGACACTATAGACCATACTATTTTATGCAAAAAATTGTCATATTTTGGATTAGATAGTAGCACAGTTAATTTCTTTCAAAGTTATTTAGAGAATAGAGAGCAGAAAGTGAATTTTAGTAATGGTAAATCATCAGATACTGTATCAATTACTAGAGGTGTTCCACAGGGCAGTATTCTGGGACCACTATTATTTACAATTTACACTGCAGACTTTTGTAAATGCCTCGAATATTGTTCCTCCCATCAATACGCCGATGATTTTCAGTTGTATTTTTCTTTTGAGGAGGTTCGATCTAACAGTGCAGTGGCACTAATTAATTCAGATTTGGCGGAGATATACAAAATTTCTAGTGCACACGGTCTAGTTCTTAATGCAAAAAAAACTCAGATGGTACTGCTTGGGAGGAATAGGAAAAATATTATTGATAATACTAATTTTAAGATCAAAATTAATAATGATATTATAAACAGTACTGACTGCTGTCGTAATCTCGGTTTATATTTGGATGTTGGACTTAGATTTGAAACTCATATTTCTAGATTGCTTCAGTCAAGTTATGGTAAACTCAAACAACTGTATTTGCATAAAGACTATTTAAATTCAGATATTAAACTTAAATTGTGTGATGCGTTGATTCTTTCTTGTCAGTCCTATTGTGACACAGTGTATTGGCCAGCTTTGACTTCAAGTCAAAAATTAAGTCTGCAGAAGCTACAAAATTATTGTTTGAAATTCAGCTACGGTATTAGAAAGTACGACCATGTTACACCGCTCTTTGGCATGTCAGGTTGGCTTACTCTGGAGGAACGATATACTGCTCACTTGTCAACTTTGGTATTTAAGATATTGAGTACCGGTCTTCCAACTTATCTTCGACAAAAGCTTATAAAGGGGTCTGAAGTTCACGGCATGCACACCCGCTATAATAATAAATTAGTAATACCAAAACACTCCACTGCATTATTCCAAAGGTCATTTAGCTACAACGGCGCTAAACTGTTCAATTCGTTACCAGATACTGTAACAAATTCGCCAAGTATAATTAGTTTTAAATATAAATTAAAGGAAGTACTATTTAAAAAATAAAATACATTCTTTTTAAGAAATGGGAGAATCTATTTGCATATAGATGGATAAATATTTTGTTTATATATTTATACATATTTCCTGCGACGGTTAGATGGAGTAGCTATGCTAGATCTCGCCGTCTAAAAATTTATGTAATCATTATTTGTTATTATAACTGACTTAAATAAAGACATTTATTATTATTATTATTATATACGACACAAACATATGTTTTTTTAAATGGAAACCATAGTTGGCCATGACTTTATAAAAAGCGCCATTTTTTAAGCTTTTTAGTGATATAAGCTATAATAACTTTTCTTCGAAAAATTACTGAGTTATAGCCAATTCTTATCATTTTTAAACAATTTCACTTAGTTAGCCATGGAAACAAGTTCAATCGCCGATGCTCTCAGAAATGTTAAGCTGTCACATCCAAACTTTGTAAATTATAATAAACAAAAATTGTAAATATGAATTTTTCAAATGAAGAAAAGCGTGTAGGTACTCGCGCATCAATAGAGTGATTCCAACATGACTTTCAGTATGACACACCACCCCCCACCCTTCATAATGAAAGAAATTTTAAAAATTATTGATATCATAATTATACAAACGCAGGGATAGGAAGAGGTGGACTAATGGCATGGGCCTCCTCGATCACCTGACCTATCCATTTTAGAATTTTTTATGAGGTATAGTTAACAATAAGGGTTTACAAAAGAACTTAGAATTAAGAGAGGCACTCGAAGTGGCGGTACGAGAAAAGTTTAATTAAATCGATCGGTCCTTCTGTGAGAATAAGTAGTAATTCAGTTTTAAAAAGATGCAACTCAAAACAATGGCGGATTTTTTGAACATTTTCTAAAATAACTTAAAGTGTATGTAGTGATATTATTTTTTAAGTTTTAATTTGTGTAATGTAAATTGTAAAGAACCGTTTAGTAATATATTCTGACTTTTAATAAGTTATAAATCATAACAGAATAAGAATACCATGCAATCTAAATGAAATTAGTCTAAAAAAAGAAAGATAAGAATTGGCTATTACTAAATTTAACTTTTCCAACATGTCTTGAAAACCGTTCTCTAAAAAACGTAACATTCACCGGTCAACGTATCCTCGAAAATGTATGGCCAAGAAAGGTGGAACCAATAATCCTACACGCTTTTCTTCATTTCAAAAATTCATATTTACAAGTTTTGTTTATATTAATTTATAAAGTTTGGATGCGACAGTTTTACATTTCTGAGAGCAACGACGATTGAACTTCTTTCCATGGCTAACTAAGTGAAATTGTTTAAAAATGATAAAAATTGGCTATAACTAAATAATTTTTCGAAGAAAACATATTATAGCTTATATGGCTAAAAAGCTTAAACAATTGCGCTTTTTATGAAGTCATGGCCAACTATGGTTTCCATTTGAAAAAACATATGTTTGTGTCATATATCAAAAATGATGGGCTTTAGAAAAACACGGAGGACACGGTCTCATTAAGGATGTGATTATCTACAACTTTTATCTGAAAACTTTTTGTCTAAAATAGCTTATAATGGAATGAGAGACAATTTTTAAAATAGCCGAAATTTGTTTTTTTCGAAATATCTAGTAAGCCATGAACTTTTTCGAAAATCTGAAAGGCGAAAACTTATGACTCCACAAAACTGCAATTCTTTTCCCATTTAACCGACTCTCTATCTCCAGTAGTTTCAACCCAGTAGTTTCAACCCAGTAGTTTTAACTCACCCTGTATACACACAATTTATACTGATTACAATACACAATTAACTATTTATAAAATCCTTCCAAATTGTCGCGATTCATAATTTAAAACTGTGTATTTTTAAAATTCAAACTGGCTCAACTGCCGATCGCGGGCCTTTATATATTCTACGGACTGTTTCTGGAACCTTCTAAAATTCTCGGTACATTCTGCCACCTACTAGTAAATTCTGGCGCCAGATTACTCTTCTACTTGGTTAAGAGATGGCGCCTCAACAATGTTCTCAGATAGTCCTCAACCAGCAATACACGTTGCGGTTTAGATTCTCGCTTCTTCGACCGATGGCATCATATACACCTTGACAATCATTTCTTAAAAGATATTTTAAATCTATAACACCCTCTACATTATGCCTAAAATGTTTAGCAAAATATCCGTGGATATATTTTGTGAAATATTTCGCGAAACATTTCCCGAGATATCTTCAGAAGGAAACTTCATGCTTTTCTTATGTTGGCGGAAATCTTGGCTTGTCTCGGTCGCAAAACTCCGAAACAGGTCGACATCGACCGAGGCAAGCTGTGATTGGTTGTTGGTTTTTTATTGTTGTTGAAATTGTCTTGGAAAATGTTTCGAGAAACGTTTCGACCAATTTCGGCAAAACTTTTATAACACGCGTCTATATTCTTCGTACTACTTCGCGAAGTAATAAAGTTCAAACTTTGTGATGTCTTCAGAAAATAAGTAAACATTGAGTATGAATAAATATTATTAGTTTGTAATGGAGTTTAAATGTAATACTACTATATTAAACTGATATGAAAAACCAAAAAACAGTGCATTTAGATAAAAGTTACCGAGTGGATTATAGGTAACTAGTGATGTGTCGGTATTCGAGGAACGCGATTTTGGAGCGGTATTTTTTGTAACGTCGTGCCTTGCTCCACAACAAATCAGCAACCTTTTACTGAAGAACGACGGTCATAATAACGACGAAATGATTAATTATTTATAATTTGCGAATAAATTATTTATAATCGCTCTTGAAGTTGTCTCGAAGCGCAGTAACCGCAAAGGGTCGCGATTTCTTTGGTTGCCAACAACAGTAGTAATTGGAACTGGTAACTACGTAGCGTTGCGCGATCTCGACCGCGATGTATTTCGCTCCAGCCGTCGCGTTTCTGGAGTCGTGGTTTCGTCTGTCGCAAACAGAAGTAACTGGTAACTAGTTATTGACGCTCGACCTCGGCCGCGACGTATTTTTATTGTTTAAGCTAAGATTTTTCTAAAGCAAACATATTTTAAGAACAAAATATAGAGAAACGTAATTATCTTACAAAAGTATTTTTTTACTTTAAATTGCAGCGGTTATAACGTGGATCAGAAGAATATAAATCTAAATATTATTGGACAAAATAAAATAGATGGCAAATAAAAAGTACTAAATGCCAATAAATCCATGTACCTATTTCAAGTCAATATATTCGTGCTTTATTTCGTTTATGAATTTACACGGGTCCAGAGATAACGGCAGGGTTGGGGACAGTGTTAATAAATTTAAAAATGCAATTTATATCATTACGAAAGTTTTATTTTTAAAATTTGCAGTTTGTGAAAAAAGGTGGTGAAAAAATAGAAAAAATCAATAAATCTCAGCAAAATGTTAACAGAGCTGGTACAAGGTCTAAGGTAGTTTGCCATTTAATTTGAATAGGATAAAATGAATTTAGAACATCGTTTCTGACATATTATTGTATTCATACTGTCTTTACTATTCAAGAACACTTTAGGGCAACACTATTTAAAGTAGTACGTAAACTCTATCGCTCTCTGCCAATTATCCCCATATACTATATGAAAAAGTATGTTCCAAAATTATTTAATCATACAGTGGTATCCTGGCTGTTAGTAAAATTTTATTTATGTATATCTAGATTCTTGTATAACTTCTATCGTCTATTATCTTCTCAATCTTGTTATATTTCTTTGAAAAAAATATTACTTGCACAATTTAATTATCATCACGTTTAGATACAGACTAAATAGTAAATAGAGAGAACAGATTAAAACTAATAGTAAATTTATTTTATCTTTGTTTTATCGTAGGCAGATCGCCAGTATTCTCAGGAAACATAAGCATCAATCAGAAAAATACTTTTGGTATGTCAGATCTACTTCAATATTAATTTAATTAGTACATTATAGGCCAGTCACATAAGATTTATTAGAAGGGTCACTTGGAAAATAGTGTTTGGAAAACTAATTATTGATTTGATTGGTTCATTTGACGTAAAAGAGAAGTTTCCGAGGTTTGTACGGTTGCTCGACCGCCGCTCGACTCAGGAGGTCCAAAAGATGGTAAAATACTTGGACTTTTTTCAGATTTTCTCCTATAGTTCCGAAATGTGACGGTCTAGCGAATATTTTAATAACTATGTGAATTAATGACAATCAAATTCTCTGTCGAATACATAAGTATACATACATTCAATTCGGTTCAGTTCTTACTATGATGTAATGCTGCTTGAAGTATCACGAATCAAACAGCCTTCCTAGTTCGAAGAAAGAAGGAATATATAGAATGAGCAACAATAATAACAAAATAGGAAAATGCGACTGCGATTTCCGCTATTTGCTAGTTTCAATTTAGACAACCAATATTACTAAGTATAGCTGCGAGTTGCGACTTTGTTGCGAATGTAATTTTGTGGTTCGTTGATTAATTTATAATAAACCGCAATTGATTTTTTGCTAGGATTTTATTTATTTATAGAGAAAGTATTATTTTCTAGGGCCGAGATCTCATCATATACCGGGTGTCTCTCAAGAGGGGTTTGCAACTATAATTTTTTTATTTTTTCTGATAAAAAAACGAGATTTGGTATGTTAGCATATGACATAAATTAGGATTGATTGACGTATTCAGTTATTTTCGGTCACTTCCTGTTTCACCGGAAATTACTACAACTTTTGATTTTTAAATATTGGGGGGTATTTTTTTCTGTTTCGATAGAAAATGACACTCTTAATTGAATAGCATAATATGATATATATATCAACTTTAGACATTTACGCTTAAAGAAACCGTATTTTAAATTTCTCTTTAGAGTGCCATGGCTGTGTTAAAACTAAAAGACTAATTTTTAATCAAGGGTTCTTGAAAAAAAGATTTAATTGTCTATTGTTTTTCGTGTATTGTCCTGGCTAGCGATGGGAACTATCGAATGAATTAGACTATCGAATGGTTACTGAATGAATGATTTCAACTATCGAATGGTTTCATTCGAATAAAATCATTCATTTGTATACTAAAGCATATGTGACAACCTCGCCGTGCGACTAAATGATTATCGTTAAGCCACGACTATCGAATGCTTTTTATAAATGAAATTTAGTATTCGTTTGATTTTTGTCTGCGTCAGTGCATTATTAGTCCTTCCAAATTTTTATAACTCGCCTTCTAAATACTGTGCTATTTTTGCGTTTATTAAAATATTTAAAATACTAAAGTAGTAGTGTTTTTTTTAAATTGATGATTGTGTACGTGTGCAGGTGGTCAACATTTTTCCGAAAATTTGTGTGATTTTCCGATCTTTCAATTATTTAATTTTATACGGTATATGGTCTATTTTTTTAATGGGAAATTTTGAGAAGTAACAATTTTTAAGAGAGATGAGGTGAACTTACAATTAATTTTAAAAATACATATGTATTTGTATTTTAGATGTTTTAGTAATATGAATTAGTTGAACTTAATAATCATATTTAAGTAATGTGGTAATGTGGTTAAGTAAATGGTTATCGAACTCAAATTTTGGGATGGGAAAATTAAATTGATTGATTAAAGTTTTACACGTGCCAATTTAAAAAAAAGTTAACGATATTTGTATTTTGTTTATGCTAATTCTCTTACATGTAGATTTTTGCGAAGAAATATTTTATTTATTTTTTAAAGTAAATGCCAGTAAAAGCAAATATTATTTTTAAATACTAATACAAAGTAATAAAAAGTAATACACATATATAATTATTTTGATTTCTAATTTTTTATTTATATTTTTCTTCTATTACACTGCATGCTTAGAAAATTGATAAATGTTTATATTTCATGATTTTAAAATTTGTTGTTAATATAACAAATTAGTTCTGTAATTATTATTATTTAATAAACCAACGTTGCCACACAAAAAATTTAGAGACTATATTATTTTTAAATAGGATCTAACATAAATAATTTGGACTTCTAATTTGTTGTTTATATTTTGCTACTACTTAAAAAAATGTTTATATTAAATGATTTTAAATTTTAGTGTTAATAGGTATAACAAATTATTACTGTTATTATTTATTAAACCAGTTTTGCTTTTTTAAAAACATTAAAAATCATTTTCCTACATCCAAAATAAAAAGTATTATTGCAGTGTAACGACAGAATATTAATAAAAAAATGCAAAATATATACTCATACTATCCCTAACTAATTATAATACCAAAGAATAATATTCTTTAATAATACCAAAGAATAATATTCTTTGCTAATACCAATTAATACGAATATACGGCAACAGCGCCGTTCATAATGTATTTTCTGTGTAAATACTAGCACCTCAATAAAAAAAATAATGTGTCCTTATCTTTATCTGACTCAAAATCAAAGATGCCTTAAACTAAGAAAGATGCCGGATTTTTTCATACCATTGCCAACGACCGCTGTCGGGTTTCTAGGAAAGAAACCTACGTCGCCGGGCGACAACTAAAATCCAGTTTATATTTTATTATAGTCGATCCTGACGAATAAATGAATTTTACAAATGAATGAATTTTATAAATGAATGGTTTTTGCTGCCGAATTAATATATTTCAAGGCAGATGACGCATCTATTCGATATTTTTATTCGAATAGTTTTCGACGAATGTTTTCTTACTAGCTATCGAATTATTCGAATGAATTGCAACTATCGAATGTTTCGATAGTATTCATTCGATAGTTCCCACTACTAGTCCTGGCCGATTAAAAATGCCCAAATCGTATTTTTAATCATATCTCAATGTATTCAAATGGAACGAGGGTGGCTCATTAGCATATTTAGAAAAAGGATTTTATATGAATAATTTGGTACCATTTGGTATTTCGAGTCAAATTGTCGTTATAAATCACATTTAACAATCTCCAGTTCAAAGCTTAGATAGTTTAACCCTTGTTTATATTTTAACCTTAGATCTTATAATAAGATCTAAGGTTAAACCCTTAGGTTAAATCATATGCAAAAATGTCAAAAGTTCATTCTATTCAGAGTGTCATTTTCTATCGAATAAAGTAATAACAATACCGAGGGTGTCATTAAAAAAATCAAAAGTTGTAGTTATTTACGGTGAAAGAGAATTGAATACAAATCAATTGAATACATCTATCAATCCTGATTTACGTCATGTACTAACGTACCAAATCTAATTTCTTTATCTGAAAAAATAAAGTTATAGGGGTGAGCCACCTTAAAAAAAAAGTTCTTTAAGATCTTTTAAGAATTGGATAAAGAATTAGATAACCGAGAAGCATAGCAAGAGTGGGTTTGTGTAGATGCAGCAGTTGCAGCATATTATAAAGTTGTAATACCTATAATATGTGTCGCAGATCTTGAAAACTAAACAAGTGATTTTTATTAACTCTTTTTAACCGTAAAGTTATAGGTACATACACAGACAATAATTATATACCTAGTACAAGATTAAAATATTAAAATCGCATTCGCAGGTTACAGTCGCAGCGATTTAAAAATCGCAATCGCAGTTTTGTTCTCTATAATATACTCATCAAAATCATTAAAGTGTAGGGTAAACTGGTCCGGATCTTCATCAACACAGATATCACTTTATCTTCTGAAGGAGGCTTTTGGTGGTTTGACGATGATGTTTCTAGCAAAGTAGTATCTGCCACAAGCACGGTGGCTTCTGGTCGCCACCAGATCACTTATGAGAAAGCACACATTTTTGTCATCTTTCAGTTCATTACAATAATTGTTAAAAAATCCTTGGAGGCCAGGTTTTGAACAGAATGGAAATTAATAAATAATAATTAATTTTCTATAATACCACTTTATAAGTTACAGAGTAATTTTCTATAATACCACTTTATAATCATACAGAGTTGGAAGGAATAGGAGAGTAACTATATATATATATATATATATATATATATATATATATATATATATATATATATATATATATATATATATATATATATATATATATATATATATATATATATATATATATATATATATATATATATATATATATATATATATATATATATATATATATATATATATATATATATATATATATATATATATATATATATATATATATATATATATATATATATATATATATATATATATATATATATATATATATATATATATATGAAAGTGCTTCAAAAAGAAATTGAAGAGAAGCTCCCTGAAGCAAAAACCTCTCTTCTACAAAGCAAGAAAGCGATACACTTAAAAGGTTTGGATGAGGTTACAACAGAGGAGGAGATTCGAAATGCAGTGTATGACACCCTGACAGTAAATCCAGAAGCTTTTCAGGTTATAGATTGTCTAGATAAAATATTACAAGATATAGAAGTTAAAATTAAGAATGAAAATAAAATGGTTATTGTATCTGGAGACTTTAATTCGAAGTCACCCCAGTGGGGTATGCGAAATTCAGACTCAAGGGGACTCCTTTTAACAGACTGGATGGCAACAAATAATCTAAAAGTGGTAAATAAGGGATGTGAGCCGACATTCCAATGTGGAAGTTACGGATCCATATTAGACCTGACAATAACATCTGAAGAAGTTCAAATCGAGCACTGGCTAGTCAGCGAAGAAGAGACACTTAGCGACCACAGGTATATTATATTTGAAATATCGGAAGCACAAGAAAAACTACAAAATAATAAGCAGGAAAATGGATGGCAGATAGGGAAACTAAATATCCAGCGATTGGAAAAATCTATAGAAACCCATTTACTAGTAGATGAGCATCCTACAGCATCAGCATTTTCTAAGGCTTTGAAATGTATTTGTGATGAATCCATGCCACGCAAAAAGAAGTGTCACAGGGGCCCTGCGGTTTATTGGTGGTGTGACGAGATTGCTCAGCTACGCAAAGAGTGTAATCAAAAAAGAAGAGCATACACTAGAGAAAGAAACAAAAGTCTCCTGATTTCAGAACAAAAATTGAACAATTATAAGGATAGCAAAAAAATATTGAGAAATAAAATTAAGAAAGCTAAAAAAGACTGCTGGAAAAATATATGTGATAGCGTAGACTGTGATATATTTGGTGACGGATATAAGATATTAATGAAAAAGATAAACGGGTTTCCACCTAAGCCATATTTAAGTATGGAGCAGACGGAAGAGATAGTGAAGGACTTATTTCCTCTTCATGGTATGTCAAAACAAAATAGTGAGAGAAGTATCTGTGATATATATGTTAGTGATGTAAATAGTTGTGATAAAAACGTCTGTGATATACATAACTGTGATGCAGATGACTGTGATAGAAATATACATGTTGAGCCCTATACACTCGAAGAATTATTAGAAGCGTGTAAGAAATTAAAAAATGGTAAAGCACCAGGACCCGGAAATGTTCCTCCAGAAGTACTTAAGCACGTAATAACACGTAAAGCGGAGTATGTACTGCAGGTCTACAACAACCTAGCACGCTTGACTAAGTTTCCGCAGGAATGGAAACAGGCAAAACTCGTCCTTCTCAGTAAAAATGGAAATGGTAACTCATATAGACCAATAAGCCTTTTAGATGTGGAAGGTAAATTATATGAACATCTCATACTTGGGAGATTAAATAATGAGCTGAAACGGACAGGTGGTCTCTCAACTAAACAATATGGCTTCCAAAAAGGAAAGCAAACCACAGACGCCATTACAAAAGTAATTCAATTAGCCAAGAATGCAGCAGCATTTTCTCATATAAATAGAAGATTTTGCGCCGTAATTACGTTAGATGTTAAAAATGCTTTTAACAGCGCTTCTTGGGAAAAGATACTGAGAAATCTAAAAAAAAGAAATATTGACAAAGTGTTGTGGTCTACGATTGCTTCCTATCTTAACGGAAGAAAGATAATACTTGAAGCTGATGGAAAAAGCAAAAAAGTTGACATTTATGGTGGTGTACCACAGGGATCCGTCCTGGGGCCAACCCCTATGGAATGTGTTGTATGACGGGTTGTTGGAGCTGGATATGCCAGGTGGTGTAACTTTGATTGGCTTCGCAGACGATATTGCTGGTCATTGTAGGTGAAAATGAAGAGATCCTGATAAATTTGGGAAATGCTGGCATAGCGAGAGTAGTAAGGTGGATGAAAGAACATGATCTTCAGTTAGCACCACACAAGACAGAAGCTGTTCTACTTACAACAAAAAGAAAAATTGCCCCAATTTTCTTCAACGTTTTAGGAATAGATATTGCACCCTCCAAAGCAATAAAATATTTGGGTGTGTGGCTAGACACAAAGCTGACTTTTGGAGAACACATAAGTAGGTTAGTAGTTAAAGCGGAGAAAACCGTAGCTGCATTGTCAAATTTAATGCCGAAAATAAGAGGTCCCAGAGCGTCTAAAAGGCGCATTTTAGCAAGTGTTATACACTCACAAATATTGTATGCAGCGCCGGCATGGCATACAGCTACTAAATGTCAGAATAGGCTGGTGAAACTAAGGCGATTACAGAGGTCTTTGTGCATTAGGGTTTGCAGCGCCTACCGAACTATATCAGGGGAGGGCGTTGGTGTCATTGCCGGAATTCCACCGATTGATCTCCTGATACAAGAGAGGTATGAGGTCTACAATGGTTCGACAAAAAACGAAGCCAGAGCGCAACTCATGGAAAAATGGCAGGAAAAATGGACGGGCGGAAAGCATGGAAGGTGGACATTTACTCTCATTCCCAATCTGCATAAATGGATAACGCGACCATATGGTGAAGTCGATTACTATATCACCCAGATATTATCTGGACACGGCTATTTTAAAAAATATCTATACATTAGAAAGAAAATCGACACTCCGGACTGCGATTACTGTCAAGCTGAAGACGACGCCGAACACACTCTTTTCAATTGTTGTAGATGGCAGACACAAAGGGAGGAGTTCTATAATAGGACGGGAAATAAGTTTTGTGTGGCAGAAGTGGTAAAATGTCTGGTGGGAAGTGAAAAAGAGTGGCAAAATGCAGTGGGACTCATGAAATATATTATAATGACAAAAACTTCTGAACGTGAGACATAATGTCTAAGAACGCCACTGTAATGAAGCAATGCGTGAGCGGATTCCGTTGCAGATGGTGAGGCCTGCTGGTGAAGGGTTTTTTTTAGTCGGTAGGAATCCGACACTATCTGGTAAAACATTTCTTTTTTTTCTGGATGTCTTATGGAAGATTTTTCCCCAACACCAGGAATTTAAAAAAAAAAAAAAAAAAAAAATATATATATATATATATATATATATATATATATATATATATATATATATATATATATATATATATATATATATATATATATATATATATATATATATATATATATATATATATATATATATATATATATATATATATATATATATATATATATATATATATATATATATATATATATATATATATATATATATTGGATACTAAAGAACATATGGCAAGTTTTGGATAATTTAATGTCACTTTAATGCATTTTCAGTAAAGAGGGTAAATATTACCATTCTTCAACTTGGTGATGGTGAGGCCTGCTGGTGAAGGGGGTTTTTTAGTCGGTAGGAATCCGACACTATCTGGTAAAACATTTCTTTTTTTCTGGATGTCTTATGGAAGATTTTTCCCCAACACCAGGAATAAAAAAAAAAAAAAAAAAAAAATATATATATATATATATATATATATATATATATATATATATATATATATATATATATATATATATATATATATATATATATATATATATATATATATATATATATATATATATATATATATATATATATATATATATATATATATATATATATATATATATATATATATATATATATATATATATATATATATATATATTGGATACTAAAGAACATATGGCAAGTTTTGGATAATTTAATGTCACTTTAATGCATTTTCAGTAAAGAGGGTAAATATTACCATTCTTCAACTTTCGATTTTAGCCACACTAGTGAACCGAATTGAATGAATATTAATAATTGAACTCATGACAGAGAATTTAATTCTCCTTAATTTACGTAATTAAGATATCCTTTGGTAATACTAAAATATTCGCTGGAACGCAAAGTTTAGACAAAAATCTAAAAAAAAAAAAACAGGAATGTTGCTATCTTTTGCGCCTCCAGAATCGAATGGCGGTCGAGCAACCATGCAAACCTCAGGATTTTTTTTTCGCGTCAAGTGAACCAATCAAATTAATAATTAGTTTGCGAACTCTTTTTTTCCAGTGGCCCCTCTAATCTGATTAGCCTGATATTAAAACAAAGAATCTGATTTAAAAATCAAATTTTATAGGTAAAATAAATCCATACGAGATACATCGATTTGGTAGATCTGCACAATTTAGGTAGGTCCGATATACTATTATGCTTTAAAATGTTATCACTATATTTACAGTTAATTATTTTTTATTGACTGTTTATATATATATATATATATATATATATATATATATATATATATATATATATATATATATATATATATATATATATATATATATATATATATATATATATATATATTCTATGAAAATTGTCAAGTCGTACATTAATTAACTCAAGCATGCTTTGAAAATGTATTTTGCTTTAGATAGAAATATTAAGTCCTCCCTGATACCGAATGTTTTCAAAAGCAATCGATGTGTTTGTGTATTATCTAAACTAAAAATTGGAGGCAGGCTTTATATGGCCGGTGATAAACTTTATATTTATCACCGGCACGAAAAACGGGCACCTTAAAATTTGCATGTATTTTAGAGTTTTATACTGGGTGCGTCTCAAAAGTGGCTCACCCCTATAACTTCTTTGTTTTTTTCAGATAAAATAACGAGATTTGGTATGTAATATATGACATAAATTAGGACTGATTGACATATTCAATTGTTTTCGGTCACTTCCGGTTTCACCGGAAATTACTACAACTTTTGAAACTAAATGGCACCCTCGGTATTTTTTTACTTTTTTCAATAGAAAATGACACTCTGAATAGAATGACATATCATATGTCAACTTTTGACATTTTCGCATATTCGACAATTTGACTGGAAATGCCAAGTGTGTGGTATCAAATCACTGATTATCATTAGACGATCAATCTATTTTTTCAAGGGTCCTTGATTAAAAATTAGTGTTTTTAACACAGCCATGGCACTCTAGATTGAAATTTAAAATACAATTTGTAATTGAGTGAATACGTCAAAAGTTGACATATGATACGTCATTCGATTCAGAGTGTCATTTTCTTTCGAATAAGTATAAAAATACCGAGGGTGTCATTTAAAAATCAAAAGTTGTAGTTCTTTCCGGTGAAACAGAACGTGACCGAAAACAATTGAATACGCCAATCAATCTTAATTTATGTCATATACTAACATACCAAATCTCGGTTTTTTATCTGAAAAAATAAAAAAGTTATAGGGGGTGAGCCACTTTTGAGACGCACCCTGTCTATTGTGTTATAGTGCACCGATTTTGATGATCTTTTAAGCAATTTCCAGCTAAAGTATTTGACTTTTTAGTATCTCTTTTTAAATTAAAAATGAAAGCTTCCATCTGGGAGAACAAAAAATGTTGTTAATTTGGTGAAAGTTTTGAACACCCTGTGGAATATGTTAAAAATGCAAGGAATTTGAAAGTTATTTTATCATCTAGGTGCATCTTTCCTCGATAGTCTGTTTTCTGGTTCATCTCAATAGCTTTACTTTTTTTGGAGATATTCGCTATTGAAGAAGACACTAACATTGTTTCGTAAATTTCACATTAAAACCATGCCTTGGCTTTTGGTCCCAGTCAACAGATCGATGAAATAGTGTTTATGATTTATGTAACGTCACTGTTATTGAAGAATCATATTATTATCGTCTGTTGGCTGTTTGGTAGCCTATCAGAGATGGTTTTAAGTCCAGAAGTTGTATCCGCTATTGTTGCTTTAATTGAAGATGATAAAGATCAAAATTATATCGTTAACATATTTAGGTGTACATGAAGTACAGTGCAATCGCTTCCTCAAGGTAAGTTCATATGCTGAACGTCCTTCTCATGAGAACTTCCAATCGAGACTGTCGACTTTTCTAGCTGACAAATCTCCGTTTGTCAGCTTTTCAAATTTATAATGAACTGCACCTAAGAAACGTACCTACATGTAAGTGAACGGACTGTAAAAAGAAGATTAAACAAAGCAAATTATTATGTCAAGATGGCTTGCTTCGGGACCACAACTTACTAGGTCTCTAGACTTGAACCAAAAGGTTTTAATCTAAAAACGATGAAAGCATGTTAGTGTCTTCTTCAAAAGCGAATATCTTCAACAAAAATAAAGCTATTGAGACGAGCCAGAGAATAGACTATCGAGAAAGCCGCATCGGCTGCCGATGGGTCTCAATAAACTATCTTTCTCGCGCTTATAGATACTCACAAGACTTTCTTATCGCGCTCATTTAAAATCTTTATTCGCGTCAGGCAAGTATTAAATCCCATTGAATTCGTCTGGCAATTAACACATATTTTTTAATATCATCTAATAAACACGCTGTAAAAATTTTAGAATGCCTAAAGTATGTTTTCCAGGTATAATAATTAAACATATTCGGAATGGTCGGGTTACACTTTAAACCAGAAAAAAAAGTCTGGCATACTTATTTCTAGGTTAAATAGATGCTAAAATTTAAGAATAAACAAATTTCAAGTTACCTAAAGAATGTTTTTTGGATTTATTTTTTTGCAAATGTTATGGGTTGCGCAGTAGCGAAATACCCCCAACCCCCAGCCAGACTTAGGATTCTGGGTGCACCAGTTAATAAACTATACATTTTTAGTTATTCTAGCTTGCCTAAAATATGTTCTCTAAATATGTCGTCAGCTCTTAGGCTAATTGTTAGAATTCTTGCTCCCTTAAAATATTTCACAGGGTGTTTCAAACTTTTACCAAAATACCGACATTGTTTTTTCCCTATGGAAACTTTTATTTTTAGTTTGGGTAAATATTCTAAAAGGCCTAGTAATTTATCTACATATTGCTTAAAATCTGCCTTCTTGAACAAAATATATTAAACTTTAAAGTGCATCAAAATTTTAAGGTGCCCGTTTTTCGTGCCGTTGAGTGTAGAAATTCGAAGCAGTGCTTTATAAACCCAATGTTTTATTTGTCTATATTTTATGTGTTCACATAAACAGCTTTCTGACTGTAAGTGTTTTATCTATTTTTCCAGGTAAAGTCCCATAATGTTCCGAACATCTGTAGAGAAAATACATCATATACTTGGTGCCTAGCCCATAAGAAGTTTATTAATATGATGTTCATTACCTCTACAATCAGACCAATGTCTAAATAAAACACATAACTAAATATACTGTATTTTTATTTTATATACATTTACAATGTTAATAATAATTATAAGTTTACTTAGATTAAAATCAAAATTGTGCTATTATCATATCTAGGGCTCAAGTTAGATATGTTAATAGGGACAGATAAGAGCTTTTAGGAAGCACATATCTACAATATCATCACATGTGATTTATTTTTTATTATATTCTTTTCCATGACTTTCTTTTAAATTATATACAGAAGTATAATGTATAAAATATTTGGCAATAAGTATATTGTACTTATACAATAATTTATTTTCATTTTTTTGTATTCAAATGAAAAGAGTACGAAATCAGATTTATTTACTCTTTTAAAAATAATAATCTGATTGTTACTTATATTCTAAATTATTTATATTATATATAGACAGGATATATACAAGGAGATGTTAGAGGCAAAATTTATATCTTTAATTATATTTCTTATACAGACAAACAACAATAAATATATTAAAATAATTGTGTATTCAGAACTTAAAGGGTGACATTTTTGCTAAGACCAAAAATTAACAGATGTTTCATAATTGTTATAAAACAAAACTATATTATTGTATAATAATTTGACAGTACAAAGTCTCTGTTTTTTCATTGAAAGAAGTGCACAAACAATAGATATTTAAAAGTAGTATTAAAAAAAATATAATTTTGAATATGATTTGTTTTAGCGTTAACAAAGGTAGCGTACTTCATCATGATATTCTTGATGTTTTTGATGATCATGAAGACATGATCTGCATAAATCATAAAACTAATATTTGTCGAAACCAACTGATATAATTTGTAATTTGTCTAAATGTCACTAAAACTTTTGGCACACTTCTTACAAATTTAATTTAGTCTTTTGTTGCCATTTTTGTTGTTATACAGGGTTATTCATTATTCACCTCATTCGACACGGGGTATTGTAGCCACAGTAAGTTTTCAGATTTTACGATTAAAATAAACGTAAATTTTAATGAAGGCTTACTGTACTTTAATCTTAAAGTTTTTGAAATATTTACGTTTTTGTGAAAATAAAGTAACAATTTTAATGTTTAATTTCTTTAGGCATATTTAAGTTTGCTAAAAACTGAAGTTCTTTCTTTTAGTAAACAAATAGGCTAGTAATATTATCGTTTTTAGCACCTGTAAATTGTGTGCATTTGTTGCTTTAAAAAACAATCTAAAATGTCAATATTCCATGGGTATATATTGATAAACGAGGTCTTAATTATAAAAAAATTCATTTTATTCAAAAACTTGAAGTGGTAGGTGAAAAAATGGTATAATACAATTTGATAGACAATTAAATTGTGCATCTGATTTACGTAAAATATAGAGAGTGTTCCATTTAAATTAAATAAATTATTGCCGTCTAAAGCCAGTAATTAGTTAATATAAATTTTTAGACACTCTGTATAAGCTAGTATAATTTTTAACAATAATAATTTTTAACTGCCATACAAAATTTAATAAATATAAAAACTTCATTACAATATTTGGTTTTAAAAACTTAAATACACCTAGAGAAATGAAGCATTAAAATTGTTACTGCGTTTTCACAAAATGGTAAATATTTCAAAAACAGTAAGATTAAAGTGCAGTAACCTTAATCAAATTTACCTTTGTTTTAGGGTGGCTGCAACGACGGCGACGTCCCGTAATCCTGCTGTTCAAACGTAACAGCTGGTTATTATATATAAAACCCAATTGTTATATTTTAACAGCAGGATTACGAGACGTCGTTGCAGCCACCCTTGATCGTATTAACTAAAAATGTAATAATATACAGAGTATTTTCCATTTTAAAAAATACAAGTTTGATATTTGTTATTAATTTGGAATTGTGCCTTTTGAAAATAATTTCAAATTGTAGTTTTAGTATCCCTTCAACGATCCCATCAATCACAATTTCCAAAAATCTAATACTTGGCACCTGTACAGGGTGGTGCCTCTCATACGCCGCGCAAGCTCCAAGACACGAACAAGAACGGTAGTTTATATCGAGATGAAATTTTGCCAGCATATGTAGGTTAACTGAAAGCATTTTATAAAAATATATAATTGTGTGTGTATTAATTGGTGAATGCACACTGCATTTACCAACTAATAGAATCATATCAATTATCTCGGATATAGGATAAGTTTGTATTTTCGGCAAATTTCTGAGAAATTTTATTGTCTTAAATGACACAAAATAATAACTAGTTGTTAAAGTTGGACTATTTAGACAGCTATGTTGAAGTAACGTCAGACATATCACAGCCACCCTAGATTTTATCAAATAATAAAGATCTACCCAGATCAAATCATGTAAATGAAAATATCTCGGAAAATCTTTGTTTGAGGGGTCTCTCTCTTCAGTCCTGACCCCCATTAGGGAGTGTAGGGTCAGCATAACATCATGGATGATTTAGAATAGTATTTTGAAGAGACATGAATTCTCCATTGAATATCGGAATAATATACTGGGTGTTCCATTTAAAATAAATGAGTAATATGCTTTTAAAGGTGACCAACGTTCAATATTAATTTTGTCTCATTCTGTATAAATTTTTGGATCAATTTTTAATTTGATTTAAAGTACAATAGTTAATTTAACTACATATTAGGCTATACCGGGTAAATTCCAATTTAGGTAGCTTTTATTGTAATTTAAAAATTGTTCTTTATTTCTAGAAAATGTTAAATATGTCAAAAACCTTACATTTTAGCCATATACTTTTCTTATAAAACTCACCTCTATTTTTCTCCCAGAATCCGAAAATTAATTAATATATAGGGTGTTCCATTACAAAAAAAAACAACTTTGATATATAACTTTTTTTGGGGACGCCCTATAGAACTCTCTATATTTTTAAAAAGTGATCTGAATTAACCTACATATGCTCACAAAATTTCATTTCAATACAAACTGTCGTTCTCCTTGGAGCCTCCGCGGCGTATGAGAGGCGCCACCCTGAATATTCTTGTTTCAATTTTTTCTCATATTTTTGTAATACACAAGTTTCTGAAGTTACTTTTTGAAAAGGCGATAATTTTGTTTCCATCTGCATGTTCAAATCTCATTTAAAACTAAGAAACTCTTTTTAAGCTAAATTAAAGATAAGCTTCAAACGCCTTACCTTTGGGAATCGCAACCGTAATATTCCGAGAGAGAATAGCTTTGAATAATAATTTGGAACATATTTTCGCTCTCCCAAATGTAATTGGGGAGATTTTAATTAAGGAATCATATAAAAAGAGTTTTTAAAAAAATTATCTTATTTTATTTATATAGAAATTGTATCACTTTTAAATATCTATTGTGCACACAAATAAATATATATTATACTGCAGCATAAGGATATTTCTGTGGATTGATTTCTCTATTTAAGTACATAGTTTAGTAAGGAAATTAGTGGTCTATTGCTTTCCCTGTATATGATTGTACATCACATTGCATTTTGGTTCTCTAAGAATTATGCATAGGCAATATCTCAAATAAACTTTTATATTACACAACATTTATTGCATATCGATACTTTTTTTGTCGGTTTGTATATTAAACAATATTGTATTAAGCATTCTAATTTAACATTTGATTGGTAATTACATAATTAATTGTATCACAGAAAACAGGCATTTCTAAAATACCCACAGGTAGGATTATTTGGTACCCTAATGATGTAGTTTTATAAAAACTGATGCCTAATTTTAAGTCACTATTTTTATTGTAATTAAAAAGAGTAATATCGATCTTTAAATTACATTCATTTACACTATGATATCAAAGGTTGAAATTTTTGTTTTGTTACAAGAAAATTATAGAAGTACTAGTTCTATAAAAATATTTACACTTAAAAAGGTTATTGGACAAAATAATTATACTCAAGATTTAGGTATTTTCATTATAACTTTAATCAGTAGTACCTTATTTCACATTTTTGTGCTGTCATTCTTTTTGTGTGTAAATATTTTGCGTTATAATAATAAAAATAATAAAGGTATCAACCACACATATTACAAAGCTATATAAACATATTAGATTATAATCTTATTCATACTTTCGGGGAAGTTAGCAACTCATTGAAAGCAGGAATTATAAAATAGGATCCTGCTTGGGCTTCAAATACCAACCCAGCCACACCTACCAATTTTGAGCTATAGTTACTTTTATTTTGGTTGCTAACTTCCCAGTTGGCAACACATGAGAAGCAGGATCGCCAAAACTGGTTCCTGCTAGTGCTGCTATACCCTGTTGCATACTGCTCTAAATTTTATCCCAGCAACACTTGCTGTTTTTAAGATACAGCAAGTTTAAACCTGATTGGTGACGTCACACATGGCAACACAATAACAGCAGGATGGCTGAAACAAGTTCCTGCTTTGGCTGCTACCCAACAAGCAAAATTTATTGCTGGAACATTGCCAAAACTTCGCAAAGCAAGGTGTAACATTGCTTTTTTCATTGTAGGGAGGTTTATGCAAGGTTTCAGGGTAGCTTAATCTTCCGCCAAATAACATTGCAGTGCAAGGTTGCATTTCACAATATTATTGAAATGTTGCTAATGTAACGTTCAAGAAAGTACTAAATTGGGATGTATTAGCAATATTATTAAATTTACGTCAAAACAATATTGGTAAAATTATATTATTAATTATAATTAACTGACTTATTGCTAAAATAATATAGCAAGAAATAGATGTTTGCATTAAAAAAACATTTCATTCATCAGACGGAAAATATAAAATTTATTTTTTAATATTTACTTATCAATTAATGAAACAGTTTTTTCTTGCCAACATTAGCAATTTTATGCAATTTTATGTTAACAATAATACATGAGTAATAGGTTATAATCAACAGAAACATTAATGGGTATTAAATTGTAGACTTTCAGATAGGTATAATATACTTTTACTAATATTGTATTGACGAGAAACATAAACAATATTAATAAAAATATGCATATCTCTATATCCATTGACTTAGAAAAAAAAAATGCTCGGTAAATATA